ACCCTAAATGATGCTTTGTTAACTCTTGAGGATGTCCATCACAGAACTCCGCTCCTTGTGGATTTCGCCTCCCACGCGCCACCGCCGCTGCAGTGTAATTATAACGTCAACGCCGCCGCGTTATACACCTCCAGCGCGGAGAACATCGCAACATTGCTCAAGGGGTGGATGGGTGCTCCGGCGAAGTCATGCTCGACGTCGACGGGGACTTTCCAAGTCTACTCGAATAGCAGCGCCGCCGGTATGACCGCCGTCACGGACACCTCTTCTTCCTCCGATGATGCTACCCGACAGGACAAGATGGATAAAAGCCATGAATATTTCAGATTCGATTTCACAGAGATGGAGAAGTTGAAGAGAGGAGTTGGTGGGAGATAAAAGCCATGGATATGGAAGGGAGAAGCTAGATCGAAAATGGAATACGAAGTAAGAGGGGAGAGAAGAATGTGTAATCTAATTAAGTAGCACGGGAACGGGAAACGTGAAACCGGAAAAGCGAGAAACGTAATTTCTAAAAAATATAGGACACGAAACGTGGGGGAAACGCGTAAATATTATAAAATATAATGATATATATATAAATATTTTTTAATATATGTACACAAGTTTTTCCATATGCACGTGTTTTTTTAATATAATTTGTTTCGTAACCCAATAATAAAATCACTACATGTTCGAATTTAGATATTATTTCATATTAGTACATAATTAATTAAATGTACGGAGTAATACATTTCTAGCAATACATTGGGTTACGAAATGTAACAAGTGTTACCGCTGAGAAATACCACAAAAATTCACTATAAAAAATTATTTTCCACCACAGAATCTTTTGAAAAAGAAAAAAAAATGGAATCCGAGGTTTCCGAAACGTAGTGAAACGGGTTTCCAAATTTTTCTTAATTACGGAAACGGCCCCGAAACGGGAATTTGAAGTTTCCGAGTTTCCGAAACGCTTCCGAGTTTCCGAAACGTGAAAACGTGAGCCATGGAGAGTTTTCGTGCTTCCTAGTGTGTAATTGAAGACGGGAGAGAAGAGGGTAGATTGAAATTGATTTACTCTTCCGTAAATGGGGTGGGTGGGAGTAAAAAATGCCAAAGGTAAAAGTAAGGGCAGTCCAATCATTTTGTTCATACTTCCATACCTTAAATAGAAGTGGAAAATCATTTTGGGACGGACAAAAAAGGAAATTTTGCAAAACAAATCTGAACGGAGGGAGTAGGAGTAAAATGTTTCTACTTGGACTATTTTTTGTCTCAGACCAGATTAGATTAGATCAAACCAATTCAGACTAGACTAAACCAGACCAGACTTGGATAGTTATAAAAATATAAAGAGACCAAACATTACCAGATCAGTTCAGACAAGACCAACAAATTAAAGTCAAAGTAAAAACATCCTAAAGATGCAATGACTTGTCTAAAATACCCTTAATAAAGTTCTAGATTTATTTACAATTAAAAATTAAATAATTTGTTAAAAACCAATCAAAACCCTAGCATTATTCTGCCGCCTGACTGGTCCTCCGTCGTTGCGGCCGTCCGGCTGGTCCGCTATCACCGTTCAGCTGGTCTGCAGTCGCTGTCTTTCGGCGAGCCCGCGGCTGCCGACGTCTGGTTAGTCCGCCGCCACTGGTTGAAGAACCACCATCGCAGTCTTCCGGCGAGTTTGCCACCTCATGGAAGCAGCCGTCACCAACTCCAAGGAGCCGTCACCGGCAGTGGTTGTGTGTTATCTTTCATATATGTCTTCTCCGCTGATGTGGTTGTCTCTTCCCAAAAGATTGTCTTTGCAAACATGGCATTCACATATCTAAACATATTGCATTTACAAATGCCAAAAAATATGGTGATTTCAGATAAAAAGATGGCATTCTCGTGTGATGTGATGGCACTTTTAAGATAAAATAGACTGAAACTTAAAATCAAGGCTAAACATGGGACTATACAAGTGCAAACATGGGACTATAACTACAAGGCTAAAGAGTCAAACAGACCATTGGATCCGTCTGAAATGCTCAATTCGACCCATAAACTCTAAAAGCTCCATTTCACCCCTGAACTTGACAAAATAAATTCAAATATCAGTTTTTGCAGGTAAAAGTCCGGTCACCTCCACGTCACTTGGTTAGATGCCAACCGTGCATCCCACGTTACAATTTGCAATTTAAGGGGTCAAATAGGCCCCTGAACCCGATAGAGTTGTTCAATTTGCCTCCTCAACCGTTCAAAAGTGTAAGAATTGCAAAAAAACAGAAAATAAAAAATAGAAAATAAAAATATGAAATAAGATACAAGTCGAAAGTATAAAATACATGCATCTATTAAAAGAAATTCATTAAAACATTTTGATATTTTAAATCTATTTTTTTAAAATAAACAATATGCGTTCTTACAAATTAAAATTAAATTTGTATTCTGTGAATTATATGTAATAATTGGTATTATAAAACATATTTTAGGTTTTGTATTTTACAATTTATGTTATATTTATATTTCAGAGTTGTATTTTTCATTTGATATTTTTTAATATTTTAATATGTTTTAGATTTATATGTAAAATTACACACACACATGCATATATGTATATATACTTCGTATTATTTTATTCTAGAATTATATACTATACTTCATACGGAGTATTAAATATATACGTCATAAAATAATTTATATGATATAAAAAGTATAATATGAATATAGTTATTAGTTTTTTATATTATTTATTTAAAAATAATTTATTTTTGTTACGTTTTTTTATAAATTTAATTTACCGCAAAATATAAATATTTTTTTATTATATTATAAATAGAAGTCTATATTTTATATTATGAACTTGTATATTATTTTATATTTTTATTTTCTATTTTTTAATTTCTTATTTTTAATAGCAATTTTGACACTTTTTAACGATTGAAGAGGTAAATTGAACAACTATGTCGAGTTCAGAGCCCTATTTGACCCCTTAAATTGCCACTTGGGATACACGATTAGCATATGACCGGGTGACATGACGGTGACCAGACTTTTACCTGCAAAAAATGAGATTTGAACTTTTTGTTGAGATCAAGTGGTGAATTGGAGCTTTTTAGAATTCAGGGGGCGAATTGAGCATTCAGACGGGAGCTATTTGGCCCTTTAGCCTAATTACAATACTTTTACTATTATTTCCATCTTGATCAAATTATGCCATAAAAGTGATATTAATTATTTGCCAAAGTGACAATAATATTGAAAAATATTACACTATAATTAAACACTTTAAACACTACAAATACCAAATTTAAATAAATATATATCATTAAAACTTAATAAATTCTACATACATTCGGCTTAACATCTATCTATAATAATATAAAGTAACAAGGTGTAGCACCTTGCTTTTCCCTCCAATTAGACATAATAATATAAGAGTTACATGAATATTGGAGTAATTGGAATATTTTCAATTCAAAATAATAATAATAACAATAATGATAAGAATAGTCATAATAATAGTAATAATAATAATCTATCTATCTATCTATCTATCTATAATAATATAATATAATAATATAATATAATAATATAAGGTAACAAGGTGTAGCACTTTGCTTTTCCCTCTAATTAGACATTTAATGCTTCATACCCATTAAAAAATAAGAGTTACATGAATATTGAAGTAATTGGAATATTTTCAATTCATAATAATAATAATAATAAATAATGATGATAAGAATATTCATAATAATAGTAATAATAATCTATCTATCTATAAAAATTTAAAGTAACAAGGTGTAACACCTTGCTTTTCCCTCCAATTAGACATTTAATGATTCATACCCATTAAAAAGTATTACATCATATTCATGAATGATGAATTGAGATGAAAATATTATTAAAAAGGAAAATGATACTACCTCCGTCCCCCTAAGTTTAATTTGGGATAAAGGGGTGTGATGTGGTTTTTAAGAAAAAGTAGAATTGCATGATTGATATGATATTGATAAAGTGTGAATAAAGTAATTTAAGAATGAATTATATAACCACCGAAATATAACCCAATATGGTATGAGAGATGCAAACTTAATGGGACGGACAGAAAAGGTAAAACGGGACAAAGTTAGGGGGGCGGAGAGAGTAGTAATTAATACCCCCCACATAAAATGTGACTAAAATTGACTTGCATGTGAAATATAAAGTAAAAATTATACGATTGAGATTTGTGTAGATCATAGAAGGGAAAAACAATTTACCCCGAAATTTTAAATGTATATGTATTTGTATGTATATTTTTGTACTGCCGCCCCTACTACCGGAAATTCCTGCGTCCACCGCTGGGGGAGTCTAGAGTAATCAGGGCCTGAAACTCACTCCATTGAGTTTCAAACCCTTATGTGCCTAGCGTGTTTCGAACTCGAGACCTCTCACTAGGCACAGTAAACTCACAACCGACTAGAATGCTTGGTTTAGGGGAAAAGGTTATAAACAAAGATCAACGTATGAAGGCATGAAACAAAAGAAAAGTTAGAGAACACACAAAACTACGAAAAGATTGCAGATGCACGCATGAAAGATTGGAGGAATACATAGCGAAGAACTAAATTGATATTCAAATGATATTCAAATTATAAAGAATTTCAAAAATACCGCGATATACATGTACACCAGGTGACCTGACTGTACAGTATAACTTACGGCTTGCAAACTACTTCTTTATTAGGGACAAAATTACAAATAATCAAACTTAGTACTCCCTATATTAACTTAGTACCTCATTTATCTAGGAAGGTACGGTAGAAAATTCCTAAACAAATAATTATGGGTCATGTTTTCCTAATTGACTTCAGCTGTGGTAAAAAAGCTACTCTTAAAATACTTTTTTTCAATTGATTCGTGAAATCCAATTTCCCGATAAGAATCCCACAAAAGTTTAATTATCAACAACGTCAACTACATTTTCAAAAGAAAATGGATACTTAGCAATAATTATCCACAAAAGTTTAATTATCAAGAGTGAATAATTCAAATAATGAGGGAAACAAACATTAAAATGGATACTTAGCAATCAAGGCAGTTTGGTTCACAAATGAGTAAAAGTCTCCTCTGAATTGGTCCAAGTTATGACAAAGCAATGTGGGCATCCAGGAAACTCAGTTCATCCAGGTCTAAACTTTGTGGGAACAATATATGCAAGCTTAAATCCCATCCAAGACTACATTTTTTTTTTGCCAAGTTTATGCCCTCCCCAAATGGAGATTCCAAAAGTCTTAAATATCCTTTTAATGATAAAAATGATGGTAATAGCTTTAACTACCATCTCCACATCCCCTGTAGCTGGCCAGAACACCAGTGCTGTGAAGGTTGCTGTTGGTGTTATTCTTGATAGAGACACCATATCTGGAAAGATGAGAGCTGCTTGTACATCGTTAGCTCTAGCTGATATCTATGCCAACCGCAATCACATTACCAGAATTGTCCCTCACTTCAGAGATTCCGCATTGGATGATGTTGGTGCAGCATCTGCTGGTAATCTTCCTCCTGTTTCAGAAATATCAAACATAAATGAGACAGAAAAAAACTTTCAAGCATTATTCTTGGCAATACTTTTTCCTATATCCATGTGTTCCACTAAAAGTTTGAATCATTGTTTAATTTATATGCAGCCATAGACCTGCTGAAGAATTTTGAAGTACAAGCCATCCTAGGCCCTCAAGGATCCACACAAGCAGATTTTATAACAGACATAGGGAAGAAAGTGAGAGTACCCATCATTTCATCAGCCACGAGTCCCTCTCTTTCAGCCAGCCAAAACCCATACTTCATCAGAGCAGCTTACTGCTCCTGTGCGCAAGCTAAAGCCATTGCAGCAATTGTTAAGGCCTTTGGTTGGAGGGAAGTCGTTTTTATCTACGAAAACAGCAACTTTGGCAGTGGGATCCTTCCCCATCTGACTGATGCCATGATGGATATCAGTGTTTCAGTAGCTGATAGAAGCATACTTTCTCCATCAGCAAATGATGACCAGATCATGGAGGAGCTAAAAAAGTTAAAGTCTAAGCAGACACGTGTCTTCATAGTCCATTTGCATCCAACTTTTGCTCCTCGGTTTTTTGTTAAAGTGAAAGAAGCTGGAATGATGAGTACTGGATATGTATGGATAATCACGGATGAATTCACTAGTCTTCTGGTTTCAATGAAACCTTCTGTTCTTGACACACTGCAGGGGGTTATAGGAGTGAAGCCTTACGTCCCAAGTTCAGCTAGGCTGAATAACTTCACCATGAGATGGAAATCAAAGGAATTCCGTCGACAAAATCCAGACTTGGATGGAATAGAGCTCAATGTATTTGGGCTATGGGCATATGACAGCGCCGTGGCTTTAGCCATGGCACTTGAGAAAGTAGGCACTACAAGTCTAAAATTCAACGGAACTCTCAATAAAAAGGATAATCTAACAGATCTGGATGCAATTGGTACTTCACGTCTGGGGCCTTTGCTACTCAAATCAATGAGAAACATCAAATTCAGAGGACTGACTGGTGATTTCCACATAGTTGATGGAGAATTACAACCATCTGCATTTGAGATTATGAATGTGGTAGGCAGAGAGAAAGGGATCGGGTTCTGGACAGAGAAGTATGGGATTTCCAATCAACCAAACCCGAACACTACAACTCTTTACTCTGCTAAGCAAGATGATCTCGGTTCAATCTTATGGCCAGGTCAGTCTACTGCTGTTCCTAAAGGCTGGGAGATTCCTACAGGTGAATCAAAGTTGAGGGTAGGAGTTCCTGTTAAAGGAGGACTAGAGCAATTTGTGAAGGTTACAATTGATCCCCAGACAAAAGCTGTAAAAGCATCTGGTTTCTGTGTAGAAGTTTTTGAAGAAGTCATGAGGTCTATGCCTTATTCTGTACCAGTGAAGTATATACCATTCCCAATCCCTCTAGGTGAAAACCTTCCAAATTACGATGACTTCGTTGATCAGATCTTTTCCGGGGTAATACTGACTTCCATACTAGCACTCAGTTGTTCATAGCACTAAGGTCCATTTTGGAGGTTGGAAAATGCCAGGAAAATATAATACAAGGAAAAGTAAACATTGAATCAAACTCAATTAAATAATTCTATACATTTGCTCAAACTCAATTTATTTTGTTTACATAATGACAGGGAAGTCTAACACGTCTAAAAAATTTAAAAAAATCATCTTTCACTTTAGCACTTTAAGAGGTACAACTAAAACCAAGAAAATAACTTTTCTTAGTGATTTATTTGTTTCACTGGTATTCTCCAGGATTCAACCATACCATTATATATTTCATGCTATACTTACATTTCATTGGTTTCTGACAGAAACTTGATGCAGTAGTTGGTGATGTCACAATTTTAGCGAAGCGGTCCAAACATGTGGACTTCAGCTTACCATTTACAGAGTCTGGGGTCACCACAGTCGTCCCAGTCAAGCAAGGTGACAAGAAGAATCGATGGATTTTCTTGAAACCTGTGAAGAAAGAGCTTTGGGTGACGACGGCAATGTCTTTTGTCTTCATCGGCACCGCTATTTGGGTACTTGAACACCAAGTAAACAAAGAGTTCCAAGGTCCACGCTACAAGCAAGTTGGAATGATCTTCTGGTTCTCCTTCTCAACGCTTGTTTTTGCACACAGTAAGTACTCAAGCAAGTTACATTCTACATATATCAATATTATTCTGTTTTTCAAAAACTACTTATTTCATTGCAGAGGAAAGGGTAATAAGCAATTTATCAAAATTCGTGATCATAGTATGGGTGTTTGTTGTTCTTGTCCTGACATCCAGCTACACAGCAAGCTTAACATCTATGTTAACAGTACAACAGTTGCAGCCCACTGTCACTGATCTCAATGATCTGATCAAGAATGGGGAGTATGTGGGAGTCCAAGATGGTTCCTATGTTGCTGGGATGTTATATAACATGAAGTTCGAGAGAACGAAAATTAGGAATTACAGCACTTTAGAAGAGTATGATGAAGCACTTACAAAAGGAAGTAGAAATGGTGGAGTTGCTGCTATTGTGGATGAGCTACCCTTTATCAGGTTATTCCTTGCAAAGTATTGTGGGAAGTACACTATAATTGGTCCAACCTACAAGACTGCTGGATTTGGATTTGTGAGTTCTCTAATCTCTAAGGTTCTATTTGATAGCCACTTGTGAATTGTTCAGCTTATCTTTTCTTTATCAGCAGACTGAGAAAGAGTAAGTAGCTTTTGAATTGTTTGGCTTTTCTTTCAGAAAATTAAGCATATTCAGTTAGATAGCTCTTACCAAACATGCACTAACTTGGATAAACAACATCATATCAGATGGTTGATAGGCGTTTTTCTCATTTCTGCAGGCATTTTCGAGGGGATCCCCATTAGTGCCTGATGTCTCAAGAGCACTGTTAGGTGTGACAGAGAGTGAGACTATGATGAGAATAACGGATAAATTGTTTGGGAAAGGAACAGAATGCTCACAGCGAGATGGAAACTTGGCTGCTTCTGATAGCTTGGCACTGGACAGTTTTATAGGCCTTTTCACTATTGCTGGTGTGTCTGCTTTATCAGCTCTTCTCATATTCTTCTGCTCCTTCTTATATCAGAGCAAGGATATCTTAAAATCCGACTTCTCAATCCAACAGAAGTTTTCTGCATTAGCAAAAGCTTTCTATGAAGAAAAGGAGAAACCATCAAAGGAGTCTCAAAATCCAGATGAAGGCAATGCACAGAAAATGCAAGAATTTCATCCACAAACTCCAGAAACCGAAAATGCATGTTCTCCCAATCAAAACATCTTCACTAGTGAAGAGGGATTCACTACAACAGAGCCGGGAAGTCCAGTAAATGACAGCTCCATAACTGAGGGGTCTGCAGAAGGATGATGCACCAAACTGTAAATTAGGTAAAATTTCTTACATTGTAAAGTTAGCTGAACAGAAAGGCTAGAAGAGATCGGAATTCCTGTCAATTGTTTCATACTTTTATTGCTGATTGCACCATTAATAGTCAATTACACTTCCTATAAAATGGTATCACCAATTGTTTAATGATATATGCTTGATGATTACATACTGAGCTTTGGGACATTAAGGGCTTGTATGGTTTGGGGATTTTGAAGGTAAAGGGAGGGAAGGATTGATTTTTTATTTTTTTAATTTATCTGAACTAGTTTTCAAGTGCATTAGCTAGTTTTCAATTTGATTTTTTTCGAGATCATATATAATGTGATGCAAAAGCAAATTAAATTCAGTCTAATATAGAGTCCGTTTGATAATATTTAAATTGGCCAAATTAGCTTATTTTGCTGAAATTGATTAAATTCTGGTTGAATGGGTTGAATAGGTGAAATCTCATAAATCATGAAAAAAAAATGTAAAATATATTTCATTTGTAAAACAAAGAAAAAATTATATGAAAAATATTGAATATGATCTTCTACATAAGCATCTCAAGTAAATATAATTGTTATGATCCTGATTTTAAAGAATTCATAATCTCCTGTCCTCTAAATAACTTTATTGTGCACCTTAAGTTTTTTCCCAATATTCCTCATTCAACTTGATATGAAATACTGAGTACATACTTTTAACTTTTAATAATAAGATGTTACATTTTACTCATTATTTCGTCATATTGAAAATGTAAAAAATGGAGTTTTTTTTTACATTTTACTCATTATTTTGTTACATTGAATTTTTTTAATTGTTATGAACGTCTAGATTAATTTATTGAGCATTTCAAAATAACATTATTGTAATATTTCTCATTCAACTTGGTATGAAATACATATTTCTAAATTTTAATAGTGAGATCTTACATTTTACTCATTAATAAGAATGTTTTTAATTGAATTAAAAGTTTGGTTTGATTTGGTTTGAATTAATATGGTCTGGTAGATGTCTGTTTTACGTTTTATGTGACTTATTATTAATAATAATATTATTACTATTATTAAAGTTTGACATGATCTGATTTAGTGTGGAACTGAAATCAATCCAATAAAAACACTATTGAATAAAATTATAAATTTGTAAACTTATAAAGATTTCAAAATTGGATTAGGAATATATTTCATAAGTGAAAGCATATTTAAATTATAGTTGTAAAAATAAAAAAACAACCAACATATTTACTTTTTGGATATATAGGCTAAAGTGCTAAACGTATTTACTTGTGAAAATTTATATACATATATACATACATACACGTGTATGTGTGATATCAATTTTCATCTTTATCAAATAAGGTAAGCTACTTGATCAGAAGCATTATTTTTAAGAGATTCTATATTTGAATATCTAATAGTATTAATTTCGTTTTTAATTTCAACAATATGGTGGTTATAGTTTTCATCATTATGTTAATAATTAAAAAAGAATTGTATGAAGATGCAAAAAAATACGAAGTATTAACACAATTACTTTTGGGGCTTATAATTTTAATCATTATCTCTTTCAAAAAAAGAATTTTTATCATTATCTTAACGTAACATTGAGTTTAGAAAAATAAAATATTACATTTTAGAAAATGGGACACAATTTTTTTTATCAAATAAATTTGAAAATAAAGTTGTGATTCCAATTACTAAATTTAATACTTCTCAAACATGTAAAAGATTTTGAAAAGTTACCAAATTAAATAGAGAAAATTCCTGAAATAGGACTAAAAAAGTTCTAAAATTTTAAAATAGAACTGTCATGTTTTTATTCCCAAAATATGAGTAATTAGAGCATTCACATTGATGATCCTCAACTTTACGGTTTTTCATGGCTTATTATTGTCATGTCACCTCCACATAAGATAATCTCAAATAATTTTCAAACGAATAAATTTCTCAACATTCATGATCTTAATTTACCTAAAATTTTTATGAGACATACACTCAATTTCAAAAACTATATTACATACTACATAATACATATATATATAATACTATACGTACACTATTATATACATGTACTATACTACTACAAATTACATACTATATTAATAAAGTACTATACGTGCACTATAAATTATTGTATCTAACATTATATATTTTAATTTATAACATTTCAACTAATGTATTTTCTTTAATAATATTTCAATTAATGTATTAAAACATGCATATGTAGTAGTGCCAAATAAAATGACATGCACTTTCAATTTGGATTGATTTGAACTTGGATGGTTAACACTATGTAGCACATGCACTTTCAATTTGGATTTACTTATTCAACGGACAGTGCATTTAAAGGAATAGCGCATGCGCATGCAGTTCAACTCTTCGTATTTTTGGAGTATGGCATGCATGAGCTCCTCAACATAATCAAATGAGTGTGTCTAGAAAATTGGGAGAGGAGCCTAGAAATTGGAAATAATCCCCAAATAATCTAGCTTTAGAATTTGATACCAGATTATTTTATCAAATAATCTCTACAAATAATCCTAACTTCTCAATCATGATCTCAAAATAAATCTTCCACATCATCACAATGATCTCTAAATAATCTATGGATGAGGATGCCCTTACTACCAAGTTTGTAAAATACTGCCATGTTTGAAGTCTGGTATTGTCAAAACATGGCAGTTATTAGTCCTATTTTGGGAATAAAAACATGACAGTCCTATTTTGGAATTTTCAAATTTTGTCACTCCTATTTCGGGTAATATTCTCAATTAAATATGGTGGATTCCTACGGACTTTTTTTCCCATATTAATATGCAATCAAAAATAGAATCTAATAAAAATAAAAGGTATAAAAATAACTAAATAATTGTTATATATAATGACATGGCAGGATTATGTGGCGCTTTGTATGCTCTTAAAAAGTTCCTCTTATATATATATATATATTGATTTGTTAGTTTTAGACTACAAATAATAACTATATAATTACTTAGACCATGTATTTTATATACTGTTGTATCTTTGCTTTATTTCAATTTTTTCTAAATGTAAAAATTATTTTAAATTTATATAAGACACATCCCTTTCCCTCTCCTCTGAAATCCCCCAAACAAACTGGCCCTAATGAAGGAACAAGAAAAGAAAAGTACTCATTACAAACACATTTACAGAACAGTTTGTAAGTTTTGTAATTAGATTAATGAATTCCACTCTTCTCTACATGTACAGAATAGGGATCCCTTAATTTTGCATTTGACTTTAATGACAAGGCATCATGTATATCATGTACTTAAAATATGTTGTAGTTGTATTACACATAGATCTATTCATGAACTGAAAGGTGATCTTCAGAGTCATATGATTATGGAGTAAAGTCAGTAAACTGGTTTCTATGCAAATACTTTGTTAACGATTCCGGAAAGTACCCCCTTTTATTCTGTAACATTGAATAACCTTAAAGAAATCCTAAATTGCATTGTTCCAGTCTGATTATTTCATTGATCAAGCCTTCGGAGGGGTATTACTGAATGTTTCATGCTTTAAACCATTTCCTCTTGTTTTCCTGCATTTTGGATTAGTGCAGTAAAACATGTAATGTCTTTCTTGAAATTATCAGCTTCTTGAAAAAAATTGATGCAGCAGTGTTATCAAACCGGTCCAAACATGTCGCTTTTCACATTACCTAGCATTTACAGCAGAGCAATCCTAGTCAAACAAGATTAGAGCAAGAACACATGAATGAGTGCAACTTTTTCGTTACTATGTATAGCATTGCTATACATTACAACGGACATACATTACAACGGTCCAAAGACCACATTCTACATCAGTAACTCCCATGAGATTTCACAGATGATATCGACTGTGCTGAGACAGAAGCTGTGGGGCTGTTCAAATCTCTTTCCCCATTGGCAACTCTAGGCCTTCCACTCAGCCTATCCACCGCATCTTGACAAATATCAGTGAACCAGTCCTCTTCTGGAAGCACACTGCCAATACAAATGGTTAACATGCAAATACTAAAAAGAATGATTTCATTTCTAAATCATAATTGCACTTGCATACATGTTACAGTAAGCTAGGTTGACCAAGACATTCGGTCATTCGGAGTTGGTTGAGGTGAGTGTGTAATCTTGTTCTAAAATTCCCCGCATAGGCAAACTCTAGGCATCATGTGGTCAACTATATTGCTTTCCCAAATTGACCCCGTCTAATTCTATTTATATCATGCTCCGGTAGCTCCCTAGCTATTTTCAGAACATTCGTGTATGCTAGAAAAAGTTATGGAACTAAAGTACTCTACTGTCACGTGATAGTTTTTATTAGTTAGTGATTGAAAGGAGCAAGTATCCCACAAGTCTAAAAATCCAGAAATGATCATATGCATTAACTAAGCTAATAAAGTGAAAGTGTGGATTTTTATAGAGTAAATTGTGTGCATACCTCAATGGATCCATCCCAGTTGAAGAAAACGCTGATACTGCCCTACTTCTGATATCACCGACGATGCGGTTCAAATTCCTAGAAAAGTAGCGTCCTTGTGAAGCAAAGTATCTGACAAATGTCATATCCAAATAGAACTGCAAAGAATTAAAAAAGAAAGAGTAAAATTCTGTATGCATGTATTTGTCGCACACATTCTGCCTTTAGTAGAACCATACAAAAGCTTAGGTATGTAGTATGAATTATATAAACCTGCTGAAGACCAACAGGCCCTAGAGGTCTTGGTCCTTCTTGAATATCATCCCAAAAACTCTGGTCTTGGGAGAGCCACAACATAACAGTTTCTACAAGTCTCATCAATAACAATGTTGCAAACCTTTCCCGTCCAACAAACATATCTGCAGCTATGGAAGCTATCGTGTTTAGCTTTAAAAAGAGCCCCTGATGATTCCACAAAAAATTGGGTGTATTCACAAAAGTGAAATGTCAAATGAGAAATTTACCAGTCAAAAAACATGCAAATAGAAAAAATGAGAGGAAAATAACGAGGATATTTAATGTTTTTGTGAAGATACAGATAACGATACACATAAGTTGGTATTCTACTAAAACAAGTATTCAAGTAACACCTCAAAAAATAAGATAATGGAGAACAATTGGGAAAAATATATACCTGGAATATTTGAGAAGGGAGCCATTCTATCTCATCCGCATTACCATCCAAGTTTATGTACATGTCTGCGGTAAGGTTGCTATCACCATCCTCATTGAAAATGAGTTCAAGAGCATGCAATTGACAAAAACTATCTTTTAATTTGTCAACGGTGCTCACAAGGCGCTTTTTCCATTCCCTTTGCTCTGGAAGACGACTTTGTCTATCAGTCCTTAGTTGATGCTCATCCTTGTAATTGGCTTGACTGAAAGAAGAAAGCTTCATTGATGCACGTGGTAAGAGCTCATCTGCTAATAAGGTGGCATTTGCAAGCAAAGTAATCTGTTGGGCTTCAGTCTCAGCCATCCGGACAATTTTGTTTGTTAAACCATCAAACTCGGTTTCTTCTTCTAAAGAACCAGGTAATGCTTTTATTAGCGTGTTCACATAAGCATTGAAGACCTCGAACAAACCGTCCATCGCTTTTCCACCCAACTGCATGCTTACTAACGGCCCCACATCCTCAAAGAAATCCTGCACAGACAAATAAAAGATCAATGACTAAAACAGACCATTAGAAAAAATAACATCATAATTATATGCTAACAAGCAGTATATCATAGGGAAGACGGACTTCCTAAGTTCCCATCTTTCTTCATCAAAAGGGGTAAGTAAGCGACTTGGTATGCATCTTCATCCCCTAGAGTTTACGTGAAATCGCGAATTGGAGTCTTGTGCACCGGGTTTTACATTTTTGAGTCCCTCCGCCCCAAAAAAGAATGTTTCAAGAACTTTGTTTTGTTTGTCCCCAAAAAAGAGTTGGCTTTGAAAGTCAACTTAAATTTTAAGTAAAATTCTTGTATGGCCAAGAGGTGGGCGCTTTTAGTCAATCACTCCAGACAATCTAGGAAATAAGTATTAGGGGTATAACTTACCATACATAATTTGTAACAGTTTGTACCTTGATTAGGTTGACTTAAAAATTAAAAATTACACCTCGCTATAGGAAGACTCTTTTTGCGACTAAAGGGGGTATTTTTTGTGAAAAAGGGCAGCCTGGTGTGCGAAGGCATCCTTACAAGGTGAGGGTCCAGGGAAGGGTCCCACCACAAGGGTGTATAAGGCAAGCCTTCCTCTGTCAAATTTTTAACAAGAGGTTGCTCCCAAGATTTGAACCCGTGGCCTCTCAGTCACCGGTGTGCTAAGGCTTCCCTAGTTCCCTTCTGGAGCATTTTTTGTTATCAAGATAAAAAATTACCTGAACCATCAAGTAAAACCGATGGGCACTACTTGAAAGTTTATGTTGATACATAGCAGACTGGCGGAATGAACTTGGAGGATTTGTAAGTTCCCAATCATCAGCTGCTGCTAGAGCAGAAGTGCTCTCCTCAATTCGTTTTAAATTGGCTTCCAGTGCTTGCTCAACACTAGGCCTAAACAGCTTCAACAGCACAGGGCAAAGTGCAAGCCCCCGAGCTTCCAACAATGTGCAGTGTCCAAAAGCTATCTGAACACACTCTGCAGCAGCCCTAAGGCCCCCAGCAGCTGCAGATGATGACAATGCATGCCTTTTAACAAGGACAGCGAAATCCTCTGTCTTCTTATTAGCCCACACGACAAGCTCAGATGTATAAGCTGGCTCCTTTCCAAAAATAGTTAATGAATCACTCGCTGCTTGGGAAATGGCAGAGAATACCAATTGTGAGAGTGCTGCAGTATATGCTCCTCCATATGTTGTGCTTGATGGACGAAAACTTTGCATATTGTATTGATATCTCTTGTGATGAGCGTTGAGTAGTAAACTATGGGCACGAGGACCATCTCCAAGCTTCTTGAGAGCTACAATAGCAGCACGAAGCTCGGCACCACGTGTTGATGTTTGGAAGGCAATATCAGCAAGCTGATCTGCTAATTTTTTCCTACGTTTTGTAATGGTAGTTTGTAGTGACAACAGGACTCTGGGACTTAGTGTACTCTTTTGTTTTGCTTCCAAAGCTATTTTTTCTCCTTCATCAAGGCTTGACAAGGCTTCATCTATCCTCCTCTCAGCTAATAAAACATCAAGGTTATCAGAAAACTCAGCTAACCATTCCTCTATTTCTGAAGGTTCTCTTGTTTTATCATTCAAAGTGTCATTTGTGGCATTATAAGGACTAGTATCAGATAAAGAATCAACATGCACTCCTTCAGCTAAATTATTGATTAAATTAGCCTGAGTAGATAAGAGCCTTTTCATTGATGAAAGTTCACCCTCAAGATCTGAAATCTCTTTTGATGTGCTGCAAATGCAAAATGGACAAAGGAAATGGAGAAATGAGTGTGTGCTTATTGCAGGGAATGATTAATGATAACCTAAAAATAGAAAGAAAAGTTTATCATTACCCATCCAGAAACATAGGAACTGATTCTTAGAGCCCGTTTAGTAATACCAAAATCGGCTGAATTGGCTGATTATGATGAAATTTATGAAATTCTGCTAAAGAGACTGTATTGGCTGATTTTGCTGATTTATGAAAAAATTATATTTAAACTATACTAGTATATATTATTAATAAAATAAAGAAAAAATTGTATGTAAAATAGCTAAAATGGTCCTCTACGATAACTTCAACCAATACAGCCAGGAAAGTAACTTCAACCTTACTTTTTCTTATTATTACACAATCGAAATCAAAAGTTACGTGTTTGGTGAAAAAGTTGGTTGATAAGCCCGATAAGCTGAAAACATGCTTACCAAACGGGCATGTTTTCAGTTCCTGCAAAGAATTTTCTCGCTAGTGTCATATACACTTTTTAAAAGTTCAGTTTGGAAGGTAATTTTTGGTTCATCTATGTTTCCTACAGAAAGCGGGTGTAAACAAAAACTAACAATAACTTACCGAATGAAAGCTGTATAGTTAGCATAAACACTCCTGCGCATTTCCTCAGCAGAGGCCTTTTTCAGATCCACCAGAGAGGAGCATAGCTGCCTAATCTCCTGCAAACAGAAAGCCATTATAATATCAACTTTCATGCATGATGAATATATAGAATCCCCATAGCCAGCCAGCCAGCCACTATATACTTGCAGGCTTACAGATTCTTCTCAAAATAAAAATAAAACTGCAGGAACCAGGCTGGATATATAACCGCAGGGTAGTTTATGAGCTAAACACACAGATTTATACTGTCTCAAAAAGTTTTATTTATTTGCAACATTCCAGGGCACTCATAAATCATATTAACTGATAACGAACTTTCCAGATATACATACAGAAACAATGCAGTTAAGCCATATGCAAGGTGGAAAGCTCGGTTAATTCAACAACATGCACAACCGAATGGGGGATGCTGAATTCTATCCATCAAAATGACAATTTAAAAACCACTTAACGTTATAGTGCAAAAAAACAGGCCTTTTCATTCAAGGAATGGCACTTCGATTGGACAAAACTATCGGCGTCGAAACTGTCGGAATTGAAGACGGTGAGTTTCTCCTCCAGCTTCGTACCCGTGTCTCTGTTGGCATATTTTGCCGGCGTCACGGCCGCATGCGTTCTTGACCTAGACGACTTCACTGTTGCCATAATTACCCGATCAGCTCTGGTTGGTGATCAGCTAAATTTTCCAGATAAGGGAGCATCCGTATCTAATTAATAAGCATTTATAAGAGGCGTTGAGAATTATTGAAGTGCGGAAGAAGAAAGAGGAATCCCGCAGAGCACTCAACTAGACGTGGTGACTGGCGAAAATTGAGATTTTTGAGTCTGCAACAATGGAAAATGCGGAAACAACCACCTGAACGGCTGAACTAAGCAATAATAGTAAGCAATTTTAAACTAGAATTCCGGAGTAAAAACGTTTTGAAATTTCAAAAATAGGAGTATCATTTTTTTTATTCCCTAAATATGAGTAATTTTCTGCCAAATTTGGAATTATAAGGCTTTAAACATGTCATTTTTTTCTAAACTTGGCAGATTACTCCTATTTAGGGAATAAAAATCATGATACTCCTATTTTGGAATTTCAAAACGTTTTTACTCCTATTTAGGGCAATTTCTGTTTAAACAATTATGAAGCTTTTTTTTATGTCAAATTACAGGTCATCAAAGTATTTATTTATAAGTTATCAAAAAAAAAAGTATTTATTTATATGAATTTATGAGGTTGTTTGGATCCGATTCTTAAAACTGCTTATGCTCCTTCAAGGAGCAGAATAAGAAGCTGGAGTGTTTGAGTGAAAGTGCAGAAGTGATTCTGGTGCTCTAATTTACTCCCAGAATCAGTTTTTTTAGAAGTTGGGGGTGACCAGCTTTTTAAAACTGATTCTGATTCTGCTTCCGCTTTAAAAAAGAAGTATAAACAGAATCAGTTCCAAACACCCCCTATGACTGTTCGAACATTTTTTTTACTTCATTCATTCATTCTGCTCTCTACTTTTTAAGAGAGCAGAAATAGAAGATGAAAGTACAAAAGTATTTCTCGTGCTCTAATTTACTCTTAGCAACCTATTTTTTAGAAGCTTGGTAGACCAACTTTTAAAAACTAAGTGTGACCCTGGTTCTGCTTTAAAAAAGAAGAAGCAAAATAATTTCCAAACACCCCCTAAGTATAGTTAAGTATAGTTACAACGATATAGAATCTTTTTTAATTGCATTTAAAAACAATTTTAAACAGAAGAAATTAGGAGCATCTCCATTCATGCTATTCAAATAAATGAGTTTTCCAGTACACCTAATTGCCACATTACTCTTACCATTAAATTTTGAATAATTTCAAAACTTAAAATTATTCACGAACAATGATATACATATTAAGGACGTAGATCCGAAAGCCCAACACACGCTTTGGATACTAAGGACGTAGGTCTTGGTTAAAAAGGTGTGCGAAATATAAAAGATGAAAAATGTTAACTCAGAAAGCCCATCTTGTACTTAGTAATACTCTGATTACACGGTAACACGGGGACTACCCAAACGATACGTCAGTACAGTGCTTAATACAAGAACTAAAGTGAAAAGCTATTCTAAGGTTCTGAGCCTCAAAATGCTAACTCTTTGCAATGTATTCAATGCATTTATTTATACTAAGAGGGGGTAGGTGGAGTGATGACGTGACCGAACCCGGTTGGCAGCTGTCTCTGCCACTTGAGCACTCATGCCTCTACTTGCTAGCGTCATACTCTAGTAATTAGTGTTCTCAAGTGATAGTTTCTACTTAAATTAAGCACTTAAAGGATAAAAGATGGAAGCATATGAAGTGGTGCTTTAAATCGCTTTTATTTTTTCTATTATACAAAAAACACTTACTTTACCATACGTACATTACCAACTTTTACTTTTTCATAAGCATTTTTTTCTTAAATACTACTCCCTCCGTCTCACTATGTTTGAGACAATTCGGCTTACGATGCTTGACCGACAATTCTGTTTTACGATGCACTCAAATTATTTTTAGGAAAAATAAATCACATATTCAGAAACTGCATTAAAAACTTTACAAAGTCGCAAAAATCAGAATCAAATTTGATAAAAAATTGATATTTAAAGTAAGAGATTAAGAGTGATTTGTGTTGACCAAGAGAATAGTGTCTGGGACAACTTGAGCGGGACTGAGAGAGTACCAATTTTTACTATTAAGCATTTCTCCCAAAATCACTTAAAAAATCACTAAGTAGAAGCAGCTAGAAACACACTCTAAAATAGGTTGGAACACAATTGATCGAATTGGATTATATTAAAGTGAACCATTGTTAAAATGATGGGTGATTTTTTTTTTTGAAATTCAACGCAAAACATAACATCCTAAAAAATGTGAAGTGTCAAGTCAAATTCCCCCTGAATTCTATTTATGTCCCTTTTTATTTAGTCATTTTTGACTTTTCCAGTAAAAAATGATAAATATTGATTAATCATTTTAACTACTATATTTATGTAAAACATTTAAATTTAAATCATTATATTATTTTTAACAAAGAATATTTTCATATTACTTTAAGTATTCCTTTAACTCATTTCAATGTTACCCGTACAAAATTGGCCCAAAGTGTTTGATCCGGTCCAATTCGTCTGATCAACTGCTCAACTCGCAGCCAGACGGTCGTACGCTATACTATAGTGCTCTCTCCGTTTCCATATCCTCTTGACCTCTTCTCCTTGGGCCAGACGCAGTCTACACCACGCCGTTCGTCCTGAGGTTAGTCGATTATTACTATTTGTCCTCTTATTTTATCTCATCTTGTTTGGTTTGTTCCTACATATCTTATTTTATTTTATCAGCAGTGAATAGATCAAGCTTAGATAGTTAGAGGGTGTTGTTGAGGTTCGTTTTTTTACATGTTCTTTCATTTAAACGATGAATAATTTTCTAAATTAAGGAGTTGTAATAAGCTGCAATTTAATGACCAACCAATATGCTGGCACTGTGAACTAACTTTGTGCTCTGATTTTGGTTATCAGTTGAGCAGTGAATGGATTTTGCCAATTGCTCTTCACTCTAAAGAGTTTGCTGGAAAGGAATGAATTGAAATCTTTCCAACTCTTCAGAATTCTGATTTGTCAAAGATGAAAGTGAAAAAGCAGAAGCGCCATAGGAGAGCAGTCAGGTTTTACGCGGCTTGTTTTGGTTTCAGAGAGCCGTATAAAATTCTTTGTGATGGAACTTTTGTGCACCATTTGATTTCCAATCGAATCACTCCTGCTGATACTTCACTCGCTAATACTCTTGGTGCCACTGTTAAACTTTTTACCACCAGGTCTGCATGAAAGAAATTGTCTATTGAGAAAGTAATTTTTAGTTACCTCTTCTGCTCAATTTTCTTTTTAATGTATTGGTTTACAGATGCGTTGTTGAAGAATTGAAGAGACTTGGGACCTCTTACTCCGAATCACTCAATGCAGCCCGTAGTCTTTTAACTGCAAGGTAAATCTGTTCAAGTGATAATAATGTTTGGTTTGATCTCAGGAAAGTAATGTGATGTTGAAAGGCTTTCCTAGAAAAAACTGGAATATATTTGCAATGGAGCCAAAGATTCATTATTTTTTGGCTTGAGAATATGATGGAATAAAGCAAAATGGCTCACTAAACTGTCTGCGCTTCTTTGTTATGAAGCAACAGTCAGTCCATGCAATTTTGGACGAGATGTTCACTATGGGTCATCCAGAAACAGTCTCTTTCTGCTTTAGTACATGGGTAAGACTGCGTACATCCGACCCCCCTTACCCCACCGTAGGTGGGAGCCTTTGCGGCACTGGGGTAAATGAAAATGAAAAAAAATGATAGGTTTGTTCATCTAATATTACCACCTCCATTCCAGTTTAACATTGTCATTAAAAAAGGCACATTTATTTAGACATTAATTAAATAAGATTATTCAAGTATATTTTGAGAAGTACTTTTGATGGGTGTATATATAATCAGTTAATTGATGATAACTGTGATGTTATAAGTGTGTTATTTTTAATATTTGATGATTAAATTGTCAATTAAAAGTGCTAATTATTTACCAGAATAGAAATGAGACCTACGATGGGGTAAAGGAGGGTTGCATGTACGCAATCTTACCCCTGTACCAAAGCACAAAGAGATTGTTTCCGGCTGACCCATAGTGAAAATCGCATTGAAAATTGCATGGACTGACTGCCGCTTCATAACAAAGAAGCGCAGACAGACAGACAATGTAGTGAGCCATTTTGCTTTTTTTCCATCATATTCTAAAGCCAAAAAAAATAGTGGGTCTGTGGCTCCATTGTAAATGATGGGAAAATCCAAAAGAGACAAGTGAGAAGCTCAAAATGGGACGGAGGGAATTTAATTTTTTTACCTACTAAAATAGAAAACGAAAACATTATTTTGAAAAATGACTTTCCATTATCAAACCAGAAAGTCGTTTTCCATGAAAACTCAAAGAATCATGAGTTTAATGTGCCAAACACACTAAAACCTTTCCAAGAACTTATATTCCCACAAATAAACGGAGCCTCCCTTATAAAACCTAACTGTTTCTTTGGAACTGTGAAAATGCTGTGGAAACAAAATAGAGTTGAAATTTGGAAGGGAATGAAATGCAGGGGAAAACAAAAAAGTTGCTTCAAATTTCAACATATCGATTTTATGTATATGTTCAAACTCGTTTTATTAAAATGCTATTACTATATAATAAATTCTAAATTTCTAATAAACCCAAATATATATTGTTACAATATGAAAGGAAGATGTGAATTTCTTAATGAAAATAACAACTTAGTGAAGGGATGAAGGATAACACATGAAGGACAACAAGTAGTATATCAAAGGGATAACATATACTACTTATGTTCTTTAATAAATGCAACATGTTGATTTTTGCACTATTCACATGTTATACTTTGATTACATTTTATTTATTAATGCCTTAATAATTTATTTCAAAAAAATATTGTTAAATTTATCTCATTGTAAATTTTCAATATATTAAATAAATAATTTATTTATTTTACTAATAGATAATTAAATATATTAATGGTCAAAGTCGTGCATCGGCAAACGTGATAAGTTGACTGTTGCATTTATTTAAGAACAGAGGTAGTATAATATATGCTTGAACATTTACAAAATTTATAAAACCTTGTTCCGTTTTTTCTAGATGAAACCAGGCATTCAAAACAAATTTGATTATTATCCCCTGCATATTCTGAATTCCAAACATATGCCAACTGAATTATAGAATGACTAATGACATCCGACTTGAAGATTTTGTGTGTGTATAGATATGATACAATTTAGTGTACCTAAAATCCCGTCTATCATTGTAACAGATGTGATCACGAGAGCAGGAGAAGTGCTGTAGCTTGCATAACAGAGATCATTGGAGAAGACAATCCTGAACACTTTTTTGTTGCTACACAAGATGCTGATCTAAGGAAAAATCTTATGCAGGTGCTTCAACTTTGTATTCTATTTTGTGTAAAAATCTTATTGTATAGGGTATTTTTGGATGCGAGTAAGTCTTAGGGAAAGGGAAAATAATGCTAAGGAAAGTTACTTTTTTATGTTTGGTTTTATTTCTACAAATCGCCAAAGAAAACGAAATATGTTCATCTTTTAACAAGTGTTAGCTTTCTTCGTGATAATGTAGTACAAATAAATACTTCCAAAATAACTAACAATGAGTTTCAGCTAATTAAAAAACATCGGAAATGTTACAATAATCCTAACTATTCGCGATTACTTTTATTTAGCCCATTCTTAATTGTATAACCATAACTAAGGTATACGTTTGCCAATAGTGCTCCCAAATCCGTCATAACTGACAATAACCATTTACTTTTAAAATGAGAATTCAATGTGCTCTTTAAGTAACCTGAACTATGTTCAGTTGTTAATACCAACTACTCCCTCCGTCCCCCTTTAAATGTCCCATTTTTCCATTTTTGGATGTCCCTCTATTATTGTCCCATACCATATCTGGTAACATTTGTGTGGCTCTAATTCATTCTTACTTTATTCCCACTTTATCAACTCATTATCAACCACATAATTTTATATTTCTAAAAAATCACATCACTTCCTATTCCGTCCCAATATTAGGGGGGCGGAGGTAGTATCATTTATTTCTTTGCTTCTCTTTCAACTTCATATGTTTCATATTATTTTCTAAGTTAATAAAAATATATCTTCATTACCTCATGTTTTGAGTTAAAAATCGCCAAATAAGCTATTTTCTTTATGTGTTTTCATATCACCCTTCTCCCTCAATTTTTCTCCAACATTTTTCTTTTAGTTTTTCAAACTGAGTACCTATCTTCTTATCATGTACATAGTATCTTTTATGAAAACCTTATGTAGAATATTACTGACTATTATATAAAATACAATATTTTAGTGAAGTAACGGTATTTGTATAGATATTTCTCAAATATGTTTACTGAGAAGTATAGTTTATTATTATTATTATAAAAAATTTCCAGACATGATAAAATATTCATTGTTCAATCCGTGTATTTATCTATATATATTTAGTGACGTTTCTCCAGGCTGCAGTTTATAGAATGAAATATCTTTAATCGATTTTGTATGTTCGTATTAAAATTTACAAAATATATATGAATGCATCTCCTTATTTGTGGATATTTCAAGCATTTTACTCCTGTAACACAAACGGATAAATTACATACTTTAACAATGTTTGATATATGTATATGAAATATGTATAAGTATTGACATATGAAGTTTGATGATGGGTGTAGAAATGGAGAATGTTAATCCTAATAAAGATGTGGGTTGCCATGAGTTTTATTTTCAACTGGAGCAATAAGGAACTAATATTCATGTTTGGAATTTGATAAAAGTCGATCAAACATAGTTTAGATGATTATAAGACTTTTAACTAATTGTTTTTTATTAAGTTGAGGAACATATTGTCGGTTAGGGTGATCATTATTGGCAGATGGATCCCATAGCTGGGACTGTACACAAAAAATCAGTAGTTGAGATTAATAAAAGTGGAGCGCACAGAGTTAGGATTGTTGTGATCACTCTTTCCAAAATAGATTTATTGAGATCGAGTCTTGTCCTTTTTTCTCCCAAATTTCCTTTCCTTTCAGTCTTCCTCTTTATTTCTGCCTTCTATTCCTAGTATTTCCAGCGTTCGAGATGGTTAAAGATTTCCTTGCATGGCTCCAAATATGGATCCTTAAAGTTATTTTCTTATTCTTGGGTACTCCCACTATGAAAGTGTTAGCATCGCTTTGATTGTTTTGACCATTTTTCATTGATGTGGTGGCAGATACCTGGCGTTCCTTTAATTTATGCACTTAGGAATGCTTTGTTTCTTGAACGGCCTTCCACTTTTCAACAGAAGTTTGCCAAGATGGCCGAAGAAGGGCGTTCACATATGACTGAGAAAGAGTATAAAGCTCTAAACATTAAGAAAAAGAGGAAGTTTTCTGACCACAATGCTATTGATGCCTCTAATGGAAGTGGAGAAGAGACAGGCCATGACTTAGAGGTCAAGAGTGTCAAGATGGATGGTGAAAGAAAACGAAGCAACATCAAGGATGATAAAGTTCAATTTAAAAGAAAGAAAGCCAAGGTAGGACATGTGAACTATTTCCGTAATTCCGTTCACTTGGAGTCTCTCGATTAGGGTTTTCATAGAAACTAAGAGTAATTTTTTGGGTAGTGAAAAATGGGAAATAGAAGATAAAAAGTAAGGGAGAACTCCTTCATTTGGGTGATGGAAACATAGGAAATGTTGCAATAAAATGGAAGATTGATCAAGTAATACTCCATCCGTCCCAAAATTAACTTCCTGGTTTGACTTCATTGGTTTTTAGGTTGGATAGATAACAAAGTTGACTTTCCAAAGTTGCCCTTGGGGTATTAAAAATGTAGTAACTGAATGGGTAATAAAGCAGTAAATAAATAGTGAAATGGGGTTAAAGACATCAATTCAATAAAGGTATGCAAGGGTAAAGGAGTAAATGAACAATAAAAACATACCACAAATCGAAAGAAATTGAAGTAGGGACTTTATTTTGGGACATCCTGAATAGAAAAGGTGGAACTTAATTTCGGGAAGGAGGGAGTATTAAACTTCCATAAAAGAAAAGTGGAACCTAGTAAAGGTGAAGAGAAAGAGTATATCAATTATCATGAATAATATTTTCTTTTAAAAATTATTGGTTAAAAAGGATTTATTGGTTTTAAGGCTTTATACAATAAAATACATCACAAGGCATATGTTTTAATGCTATGTTTAGAACATGGAACAGAACGCAAAAAAGGAAAAAGCGCTAAAGATTTTTGTTACATTTGTTTTATCTTGAAAAAACCGAAAAACAATTCGATTGAACTTTTAATTTATAATACAATTATTTACATTTCTTAATCTTCTTATAATAGAATTATTATATAAATTTAACGAGTTTGAACAAATATCTAACATTGATTTATTATTGACTTTGGTCCAAACCTGGTTTCCCCCCAACTTTTTTCCTTCCAATTCTTCCCCTATTTTATTTCCATGAAGTTATCCTAATCCCAAACATATCCCAACAATACATACAATATAAATGGGAGATAATTTCTAGAAAAGTTGATTGCATGATGACAGATGGTTTTGCCTGTTGATATGATGGGATTAAGAAGTTCTTAACTAATACTACCTCCGTCCCGCTAGAAGGTTCTCATAGCAAAACGGCACGGTTATTTAGGTGATAATTAAATAAAGTACTTCGGGTATATTTTGAGAAATAATTTTAATAGGTATATATTATAATGTGTTACTATTGATAACTGTGATGTTATAAATGTATTATTTTTAATATTTAATGACTAATTTGTCACTTAAGATTATTAATTGTTTCCTAAAATGGAAATGGGAACCTTCTAATGGGACGTCCAAAAAAGGAAAGTGGGAACCTTCTAACGGGACGGAGGGAGTAATGTTTTAAACCATTTTACCAGCTGGTAATATAAAAGCTTTTGTGAATTGGTAAATGTTTTTCGTAAAATCATCCATAAACTTAGATATTCTATAAATGGCCTGAATATGATGTCAAGTTAAGTCCTCGCTTTTTTGTGTGCAACCTTTATTAACTATGTGTTTTATTCCTTGTATTGTGCATGTCAGAACCCAAATCCACTTTCTGTCAAGAAGAAGAAACCTAAACATGTGAATGCAGTAGCTGCCTCAGAAAAGGTAAATATATTCTGAATGCCAGTTTTGGAATCCCATTCAAATTGTATCACCTTCAGACTTGAGTCATTTTGATTAATCACTTCAGAACACAAATGGATTAATCATATAAATGTAAAACCAACACACTCTAGGTCTCAAAAGCACATTGGTTATTTTTCTCAGTGTTAAGTAAATTGCTTGGCGTCAATAAATTACATTAATGAATTTAACATCAAATGTGTGAAATGTTGAGCTCAAAGTTGTAGATGACTGATGGTTTTGCCTGTTGATATGATGGGATTCAGAAATTCTTAACTTATAATGTGTTAAACCATTTTACCAGTTGGCGATATAAAAGCTTTTTTGAAATGGTAAATGGTTTTCGTAAAATCATCTATAAACTAACATATTCTATAAATGGCTTAATTATGTTGTCAAGTAAAGTCCTCGCTTTTTTGTGTGCAACCTTAATAAATGTGTGTTTTAATCCTTGTATTTTGCATGTCAGAACCCAGATCCACTTTCTGTCAAGAAGAAGAAACATAAACATGTGAATTCAGTAGCTGCCTAAGAGATAATTTATTCTGAATGCGAGTTTTGGCATCCCCATTCAAATTGTATCACCTTCAGACTTAAGTCATTTTGATTAAGCACCTCAGAACACAATTGGATTAGTCATATAAATGTATAATCACTTCACATGAGGTTTCAAAAGCACATTTGGTTATTGATCATGGGGTTTAGTTGATTGCACAACGTCATTGAATTACATGATTGAATTTACATCAAATGGGTGATATGTTGAGTTCAAAGTTGTGGAATTCCCTCTCACATGAACTTACATGTAGAAATTTCTTACTCATATCGTTTCATGATGCTCACAATGGTTGTTCTAAATTCCCAGCCTAGCCACCAGGGCTGATCCAAGAAACTGCCAGTATTAAACTGACCAACAAGCCTATCAAAATTGAGCCAACTGTTCAGTCTTATTTGCGATTCAACTTGCGATTTCATATTGAATGCAAACCTGTTATGTGTGTGTGTGTCTATAAATAATAGAACGGTTATCTTTACGAATTCTTGTATTGGTGCCTTGGTGGACTGTGGATGGTCAACTAAAAAATCTCTTTGCTTCCTTGCGGTGGATGGTGAAACCGCCGGTACGGTTCCTTCTCTGTGGTTGGTAAAATCAAGCATCTTGTTTTTCATTCTCACACTAATACGGAATATAAAATTATTCTTTTCTATCTTGTTGCCTTAGTATTAGGAGAATAGGAGCAGATTGAACATTGAAGAGTACTTAATCTCGAGATTAGGGAGCTTGTTTTCATTTCATTGTAGCCCTCAGCTACATGATTGTATTGTTCTTATTCACTTTATCAATAATAAAAAGAGAAAAGTGTCAAATTGCCCCTCGTACTCTGTATGGAAAGTCAATTATGCCCCCATACTTTAAGTTTTGTCAATTTCATCCTCCTACTTTGCAATTTTCGTCAAAATCAACTTTTAGCTAGGCTTGGACCCGGTTCGAGCCACCCGGCCCAGCACTGTTTGGGCCCGGCCCGGGAACCGGGTACCGGTTCCGGGTCTAGGCCCGGTTTGTAGGGGTTAAGCGGGGCGGGCTGAAGGAAATGAGAACCGGCCCGGCCGGTCCCGGTTCGGGTTTTTTCAATTTTTTTTGTTTTTTTTTTGTTTGGGGCTTTGGGCTGGGTTTAAATGGGCTGGAATGGGTGTTTCAGATGGGTTTGTGGGATGGGGAGGATGGGGGGTAGGGGATAAAATAATCAAGAAAACAAAAAAACAAAAAAAAAACGGACCCGGCCCGGCCCGGTCCCGGACCGGCACCGGTCAACCTCCGGGCCGGTCCCGGGCCTCATTTAATTTTTTTTGGCCCGGCCGGGCCTAGGCCCGACCCGGGACCGGACCCGGTTGAGTCCATGCCTACTTTTAGCAAGTAACCAGCCGGTTAGCACTCAGCAGGTTACCTCCTGATGTGGAGCACATCGGCACACGTCGCCTGACACGGTGCATACGTGGCGAGCCACGTTAGCTTTTCTTTTTTCTTTTCATTTTTCATTTTCTTTTTCTTTTCCCATTTCCCCTTTCGCAGACACCCAACCCGTACGTCTACTTCCTCCAGTCTCCTCATCTCCCCTACAAAAAAGACCTCAAGCTCCATCTTACTTTCTTTATTTCCTTCTCCCATTCCGCTTTCTTTTTTTTTCACCGCCAACGGCCAGAGCAAGAAACACCATTTATTGGAAGATCGATTATTTGCTCATAACTCAAATGTGGGCTATTTTTATTCATTTTTGAGACTAGATTGGAATTCGTTGGCTAGGAATGACACTCCATATCGATTTTGAGGAGCAGGGGACGAGATTTGGGGGCCAGTTTACAGTTGGTCGGAATTTCTCATTTTGTGGACACGCCCGACATTTTTTCCAGTGACTTTGGCGCTCGACACAAAAATTAAAACATGCCAAGGAGGTCACCGTGAACAGGTGCACCTCCTCATATTTTTCGTTTAATTTTTTAACCACCCTCCATTTTGGCGAATACAGTTCATGCCGGTGAGTCCAACGAGGAAGAGAAAGGTTGGCGAGAAGAGAGAGAAAGAAAGAAAGAAAGAAAGAAAGAAAGAAAGAAAGAAGAAGAAAGAAAGAAAGAAAGAAAGAAAGAAAGAAAGAAAGAAAGAAGAAAGAAAGAAAAGAAAGAAAGAAAGAAAGAAGAAAGGAAGAAAGAGAAAGAAGAAAGAAAGAAGAAAGAAAGAAAGAAGAAAGAAAGAAAGAAAGAAAAGAAAGAAGAAAGAAAAGAAAAGAGGAAAAGAAAGAAAGAAAGAAGAAAGAAAGAAGAAGGAAAGTGAAAAAGAAATGGAAAAACAGATGTGGCTCGCCACGTCTGCGTCACATGTGCGCCACGTCAGCAGGTAACCTGCTCACGCGGCTGGTTACCTGCTAAAGTTGATTTTGACGAAAATTGCAAAGTAGGAGGACGTAATCGACGAAACTTAAAGTACGGGGGCATAATTGTCTTTCTGTACAAAGTACGAGGGCCAATTTGACACTTTTCTCTAATAAAAAGTTTGTTTTCTACAAAATACACAATGTCTTTTATTATTAAAAAAAAACGTCGATAAAAAATCATTGAAGTAGCAACCTCTATGAGATATTCTAATATGTTTACCAAGGAACTCTTAATTTCAAGTTTCAAATTGAGTACTAACGCATGCAACTGATGCAAGTAGATACTCCATTACAACTTGAGAGTTGATGAATCAATTTAAAAAAGTTACAGAACACTACTAAATTCTTACATGCATCTAGTTAGAGCTCAAATTTTGAAATAAAAAAACGCTGAAAATAAATGAAACCATTAAGATGATAGCATTTTTATCTCTTCAAAAGATGTAAACTTCTTTATAGAATGTCCAAGAGATGTGCATGAATTGATTTTGAAAGTGCCAATGTAACCAAACGATGAGGTTTAGAGTTGAGTATAAACTAATGATTCCGTATTATATTCCCTATTGTTGTTCTAGCCAGTCCTTAGTGTTTTTTAAAGCGTTTTTGAAAATAATTAAATTATGTATTATAAATGTAAATAGAACGGTAAAGATATTAAGATATTCATTTATTATAAATATTTAAATAAAATTGCGACGAAATAGGAAATCATACAAACAAAACATTTGATATTCTTCCTTGGTTTTGAAGTGCCTAAAGTCGAATTATATTCATTTGTTTATGCTTGACTTGAAGACCAAAGAAACTGAAAAATCAAGTATCCCGGCCTGTTGGAGTGTGGTGTAATATGTTTCTCATCAAAACTGCAAGGATTATGATCTTGAGCATTTTTTTATTATATAAATTTCAGTTTTAATAATTTGGGTAGAGTTGCACTTCTATGTTTCCCCTTCAAGTCTTCAACTGGACTATAGATGCCCTTCAATTTTTCGTGAAGTGATAACTTATATATTTAACATCTAAATTAGGCATGGACCCGGTTCGGGCCGCCCGGCCCGGGACCGGCCCGGCCCGCTACTGTGCGGGCCCGGAACCGGCCCGGTTCTCGGGTCCGGGTCCGGGTCGGGCCTAGGCCCGGTGGGGGGGCGGGTCCGGGCTCGGGCCTAGGCCCGGTGGGGGGGCGGGTCCGGGCTCGGGCCTTGTATTTGGCGAACCGGCCCGGCCGGGTTGGGCCCGGGTCCGGGCCGAATTAAATTTTTTTTTCTTTTTTTTTTTTTTCTTTTTTGGGGTTACCCGGGTTGGGCTTGATGGTTAGGAGGGGTTTGGGGGGTTTGGGGGGTGTGGGGGGTTAGGAGAGCAAAAAAAAAAAATTGACCAAACCGGAGGCCCGGCCCGGTCCCGGGCCTTCCTTTCCAAAAAAAAAAGCCCGGCCGGGCCCGGCCCGGGTCCATGACTAATCTAAATCGGTTAGAATTTCAGTTTTTCCACACACAAAAACAATACTTTAATTTTTTCAAATAATCTCTTGTATGTGTAAATCTCAAGAAGATGCATGAAACTGAATCAAATTTGCAGAGAAATTCTAAATAAAAAACTATAAAATCTACATGTAGAAGAAAAATTTGGAAGAAATCACAAATCTTAATTTCGTATTTAATGAGCAAATCTCAAATCTTAATTTGGTATCCAACGAGCAATTTAGTTATGATAAACTCGCAAAACCAAGCATTAATGCGGCGGAACCATCCCATTTGAATATACTAGTTTTTATAATACACTAGTTTTCGGCGCGCGTTGCGCGAGTGGGTCAGTGGGATAATGTCCAATATCAATAAAATCTGGAAAAAAAAACGTCAGAAGTGTGCGTAGATTGTGACTAAGTAGTTTCACACATAAGCAGTTGAATTTATGGAATGGAAATTCATAGACCGGCAGAAAATACATTCATACATCTTTCATTGTTTCTTTTTGTTTTGTGCTTCCCTCTGTCCCCAAAAGTAATTTGTCATACATGGTTAACTTAAATTACTCTTAATCTTTTGCTTTATTTATAGAATTTTTTATCAAATTTACATTTTTTATCAAGCTTTATAGGGGTTTTAATGTATTTTCTGAATGTTTAAATTTAATTTACTAAAAGTAAATTGGGACGAAGGTAGTATATTTTTATCAGACAAGCCTGCACGGCAGCTCCCAAATAAGTTTATCCACAAAAAAGTCAGTTAAAAATTCAATCGGGAAGGTTGTCAAATGATTTTTGGAAGTTAACTGTGTTTTATATGTATATTTTGAGCGCAGATACCTTCCAAAAAATCATTTGACAGCTTTCCCGATTGAATTTTAAGCTGGATTTTTGTGTGGATAAATTAGACTTTATGAAGAACATGCCATAAAAATATCATCAAAAAATTCGACCGGAAAAGGCCCCAAACGCCGCCATCCGGACGGTGATCCGGTCAGGAAGGCCTGACCGGAAGATCTCTCTCTCTCTCTCTCTCTCTCTCTCTCTCTCTCTATATATAATATTATATATATATATATATATATATATATATATATATATAAGATCAGGTCCCTCCGGAGGGACGGGAGGTGTCGTCCGGCCAAGGCCATCAGAGGCCCTTCCCGGTGAATTTTTTTGATGAATTTTTTTGAGCATGTTCCTCATTAGTTTATTCATACCAAATTTCAGCTCAAAATTCGATCGGGAAGGCATTCAAATAAATTCTTGAAACATACTGCACATTCTGCACACATATAATGTGCAGTAAGTTTCAAGAATTTATTTGAATGCCTTCCCGGTCGAATTTTGAGCTGAAATTTGGTATGGATAAACTAGACTTGATGAGGAACATGCTCAAAAAATTTCATCAACAAATTCCACCAGAAACCGCCTCAAACAGTAAAGTTCGGACGGAGCCTCCCGTCCCTCCGGATGGACCTGAGTAGTGGTGGACCCGGTTCGGGCCGCCCGGCCCGGGACCGGCCCGTCCCGTCACTGTGCGGGCCCGGAACCGGCCCGGTTCTCGGGTCCGGGTCCGGTTCGGGCACCGAACCGGTGGGGGTGGCGGGTCCGGGCTCGGGTGTTGGTTTCGGTGGCCCGGCCGGGTCGGGCCCGGGCCTAACGGTCCAATTTTTTTTTTTTTTTTAAAAATCTTTTAATTTTAAAAACCATTTTTGGCTCAACAGCCACTTCCCAAACGGCTATATAGCCGTTGGGTGGGTACCGGGGGGGGGGGGGGGGGGGGGTCTGGGGCCTTTGGAGGGGGGGGGGTTAAAAAAAACCTATAAATACTCCTAATTTTAAACATTTTTTCACACCTCTTCTCCAACTCTATCTAAATCCTACTCTCTACTCATCTCCAATTCTCCATATTCATCTTCTCAAATTCTCTTATTCTCCTTTATATTTTATTTTACTATTTAATATTTATACAATTATTATATCTACTTATATATTAATTATCTACTTATAAATACATATACTATATTACTTATATTTCTTATCTACTTAATCTCTACTTGTATCTCTTAATACATACATACATACTACATCTACTTAATATATACTTTATATAATAAAGTATTAAATATACTTTATAAACTATTACTATATACTTAATACATAATAATATCTACTTCTCTACTTATATTTTACATATACTTATTTTCTTATTTTCCAATCTCCAATTCTCCATTATACTCTAATATTTAATTCTTATACAATTATTATATCCACTTAATACATACATTCTACATCTACTTAATATATACTTTATATATTAAAGTATAAAATATAAGTGTATTACTCATCTTATAGTAGTATACTTATATATTATATACTATAAACATTATATTATATATTACTTACTATAACTAGTATTATACTAGTTAATTAGTTAATTAGCATTCTTGTTACATTTTTCATTATACTAGTTAATTAGTTCATTACCATTATTGTTACATTTTTCATTATACTAGTTAATTAGTTTAATAGCATTCTTATTACATTTGTCATTATACTAGTTAATTAGTTAATTAGCATTCTTGTTACATTTTTCCTTATACTAGTTATTTACTTCATTAGTATTCTCATTAATTGTTAAAACAACTCTACTTCAATAAACTAGTTAATTGTCATTATGGTTAAAGTCACATTTTCTTATTTTCAAGTTATATTTGTAGGAAGAAATAGTAGTTCAATCATTTAATTAAAGTACTTAACATTTTTATTTAAGTAGTTTTTACTAAATTAAAGTACTTCTAAAGTTGGTATAATTTTAATTTTAAAGTCACACATTAATTCTACTTTGCACTAAATTAGTTTGAAGTATTAATTAAAATAGTTTTAATTAGTTGCATTAGTTTTGTATCCATTATTATATTTGTTGTCAATTAATATTTGTTACATTTTTAAGATGGAAGGTGGTAGATATTCGGTTGATTTGGGTAACCTCCAACGCAATCGAAGGAACGAGATTGGGAGGAAGAAATCCCGCAAAGGTAAAGAACTTGCCGGTTCTTCATCTCAAAGCCGAGATGATTTTGAAACGGGTTACCAAAGGCGAGATGGAGATGCGATGTCCGAAGAACAACTCCAACAAGAATTGGCCCGACATAATAACCGCTTTCTACAACAACAACAAATCCCGACGACCATTGACGAAGAGGAGCTTGAGGATGAAGATGCGGAGGAATTGGAACCGGAGACGGCCGAGGAGGAGGGTGCCGGCAGCCACGACGCCGACGAGCCTGCCTCATCCCAAACCGCCACCGGTAATAAAAAAAAGTAAGTCTGAACTAATGAAAAATAATTTTGATAAATGGAAGGACCCACAAACCGGCTGGTTATTGGCACGCAACTTGCAAGTGGTGCAACAACAATTATAGTTTGGGAACCTCCGGCGGATACGGATCCGCCGCAAGGCATCTTAAGGCAAAGCACCCCGTGGAGTATGCAAAATTAGGCGGCGGAACGGGGAAACAAACTCAAATATCGAGGTTTGCGAAAAAATTTGTAATGTTTTGATATTTTTTTTAATGCTACTAAAACTTTTAGTCATGTTTATAAACCTACCGCAAACCAATTTATTCGTGAAGCTGTTAATCTCGCCGGTGCTTTTAAAGAATTTGAGAATGCCGTTTTCGTTCATTATTTTTGTGATTATATGAAGGAAAAGTTTTTAAAATATTATGCGCATATTCCCCATATGTATGGTATTGCATTTATTCTCGATCCTCGTTATAGACTTGCTAATTTGGAAGATTGTTTCAACTTCTATTATCTTGCGTTTTTGGTGAATTTCCAATGTATGACGATAACCCCATAGATCCGAAAACGGAATACAACGAGGTTAGTACTTTATTTTATGCCTTATTTAATGAGTTTCGTGCACAATATAGCAACGCTCCCCCTCCCCCGTCACGAACATCTTCATCTAAAGGAAAATCAATTTTTAAATCTGCATTTGGCAATCTTATGAAAAAAACAAAAACAACTCACGTCACTGAACAAAGTGCATTGAATGAGATTACTTTATATTTAACATATGAAGTTGATTTTGAAGAAAATGATGACTTTGACGTTCTAGACTGGTGGAAGTCAAAAGAAAGAACGTTCCCGATTTTAGCACGGTTGGCTAAGCAAGTACTATATCAATGCCGATTTCAACGGTTGCTGTGGAACAAGAATTTAGTTCGGCCGGCAACGTCCTAACGGCATCTAGATCGAGATTGAGCGCGGAGTCTCTTGAGATGCTTATATGCTACCACGATTGGTTGAAGGCCGCATGTAGAACTCAAGAAATGAGCATCACCCCCTCCCAAGATTTTATGGATGGCTCAACAACCGATGGTGGCTCTACCTATGCCGGAGATTCCGATTGATTAGTATTTTAGAATTTATTATAAAATGTATTTTGTAGCACTTGTCAAATTTATTTATACTTGTACTTCATATTTCAAAATTGTAAACTTGTACTTCATATTTCAAAATTGTAAATTTGTAGTTGTACTTCAAATTAATTTGTAAACTTGTACTTCATATTTCAAATAAATATGTGTTCACTTTTTCATATGTAGCACTTCTCAAATTAATTAATTGGTTACAAACTAACGACTTAAAATTATTTTTCTAAAATATAAAGCCGGTTTTTAAATTAAAAGTACATTTACAATATGTAATTTGTTTAAATACTTATACACCTATTTTGTAACATTTGTAAATTATAAATCAAACCACTTTTCTAAGTCAAATAGTTTTAGTTTTACTTAATTCATTAAATTAAATTAATTAATTTATTTTACAATATGTATAACTTTTTTTAAAAAAAAAATTGAAATCAAACCTCCCAAACGGCTATATAGCCGTTGGGGCTATGGGTGGGGGGCAGGGGGGTCCCGGGGGTGGTGGTGTGGGGAGGGGTTCAAAAGCATCTATAAATACATCTATTTTCTAACATTTTTCTACACCTCTTCTCCAATTCTTCTCCAACTCTTCTCCATCTTCATCTTCTCTTATTATCCTACATTCCCACAATCCTACTTATACATATACCATTTTAAATATGGAAAGTACATCTTCCCTTATGCAAAACAATTTTGACAAGTGGAAAGACCCGAAGACCGGACTGTGGTGGGCAACTTGCAGGTGGTGCAAGAAAGAGTGTTGCTTGGAACGTTCATACGGATACGGGATGCCAATAAAACATATGAAGTCCTGTGACAAAGGGAAAACAACAACCAACGGTGGCGAAAATCCCAATTGATATTCATTAGAAAATGTATTTCGTATTGTTATTTTCTTCTCAATTCTCAAATGTAGTTCTTATTTCAAATAAATGCACTTGAACTTTGTTTTTAACAGGAATTTGTATAATATATAATTAATTTAAAAAAAAATACTGGCCCGGCCCGGCAGCTGGCCCGACCCGTGACCCGGGCGGGTGGCCCGGCCCGAACTGAAACCGGCCATTGACCGGGCCGGTCCCGGGCCTACCATTACCAGACCCGAGGCCCGACCGGGCCTAAGCCCGGCCCGGGTCCATCACTAGACCTGAGCATTCCTTTATATATATATAAAGGGGGTGCAAGTATCTTCCAAAAATCGTTTAACTGCCTTCCCGATTGAATTTTTTGCTGAAATTTGGTATGGATGTACTAGACTTAATGACGAACATGCTAAAAAAATCATCGAAAAATTCCACCGAAATGGCCCTCAAAACGTGGAGGCCACACGGCGGCTCCGGTAAGATATACCTTACCGGAAGAGTTCCCATATAGGAACTCTTCCAAAAAGCTGTGTTCGGGTGGTCATCTATTAGCAATTATACATCACTCATTATTCCATTAATAGTGTACACTAGAGTCCTGGTTTACATCCAAATAGCTAAAACGAAGGTAAGTGCTCAAACTATCTACTTTGCAAGCATTTCCATAAGACTTCTAGAGGAATAAAATCAAATATTCACATTGCTTCCTTTATTGTAGTGAAAGGAAGCTTACATGGCCAAAAAACTAGATTTTTGACAAACTAAAAAGATGCGGAGTAAGAGATGTTAGAAAGGCATTCAGAAAACGCAAGTCTTCACTCAACCCAGAAACTGTTAGAAAGGCATTCAGAAAACGCGTCTTCACTCAACCCAGAAACTGCACCTATGGCTATGATTGATTCTTAATTAGAAACTCATTACTTAATCATTATCAGATTCGGAATTTTCCTCTCTACTTGCCTCTGCTTCAATCGCACCACTTGCTTGCCCTTGTCCTGGCTGAATGGAATCTAAAAAATAAATTTGTCATTTGCTTGTTTTTCATCTTCCCTCCAATGGAACAGAGGTTTTTAAAATTACGGAGTATTTTTTATGATGAGGTTATTTGTACACTTACTGGTACTAGGCACCCATATCTTCATCAGCATTGTCTTCACAAACTGGAATTCTTCTTGATGGAGACTGACGAACCTAGACTGAAATTCCACGAATAAAATCATTGTCCATTTTAGCTATTGCTTTCTAGATGCAAGTCTAATTTCAAATATAAAAGGAGGCTTGTATAAAGCATCAAGAGTTTTGTGAGGTCTGACTTTCACCACACTTGTCACTTTTCGACTAAGAGGCCAGTACTTTGTAGCTATTTTTAGCTAAACCTTAACTTAAAAAAAGTATTTTTTTCACAACTTGCAATTAGTTGCAAGTAATAGTTTATACCCCAAAATTATTACTCCCTACGTCCAAAATTCATCTTGGGGCCATCCAAAAATGAGCTTAAAGTTTCTTGTTATGGAAAGAACGGTGTAGGTGATAATGTTTTTTGTCTTTTAACTATATCCTAATCACACAATTTTAATTTTCTTGATAAGCACACAAATCAAATCAGAAATATTAATTGTGGACGGAGGGAGTTTTCTTGTTGAATGTGATAGGTCTCACTGATTGACCGTCACGTTCTACTTTTTTTTGCTGGGCTGAATTATGAGGACTAGTAGAAAGTGTTGTATTACATAAAAAGGAAGATACATTTTGAAAATAGTAGTGTCCCTTGGGATTGTTAAATGGGGATAATGCAATGATGCAACACATCTTATGCTAATTAATTAATTAAATTAAAAATGAAAGAATGTTTACCATTTCACCATATAAAAAACAAATTATTTGGTCAAGCCTAGCTTGATGCTTTGAAAGGAATGGACGAAGATGGTTCATATATAACATCTTTGCACCCTGCCAAACACAAAATATCAGGAAGGGTGTGAATGAGTGACCTCTTCCTATTTTCGCATTTAGCTAAATATCTAGAGAAACACCTACATATATTTACACATAAAAAAGAGAGCATTGAAGGTGGAATTACATCAATACATGGAAGTTGAAGCCAAACAAGAAACGCAAACTTCACATGATAGTATAGTGGAAACCTGATAGTATTGAAAATGTTAAAGTATTCATAGATTAAGGACTTAAGGTCGGTAAAGTGAGATTTCCATATTACTATATCAGTAAAAACTGAAAGGGGCTTGAAAGATAAGAAAGCGGGAATATAACATGTACCAGTGAAGAAGTTTGTCTGTGAACAATTCGACTAAACTAAAAGATCCATAAGCTGCAAGAAAAAGTAACAAATGTCCTTAGTTCAAACAGAAACTTAAGAAAATCCACTCGAGAAACTGGCAAAATTGTTTGTCAAAACATTGGATGCAACTGCTTGTGAATTCGTTTTCTTTAGATTCATAAGATAGTAACTACGTGATCTCTTCTGAAATATTTCCCTTGTATTGATTACTGGACCCCCTCTCCCGCAAATAATATAAAAAAAGACAAATAAACAAATAAAAACAAAACAAATATTTAATACTGTGCTGGCAATAACACTATTTCTGTCTCACAAACAACAACATCCAATCCTTAGTCCCAAAACATTTTGGCTAAAAATATGTTGGTCATGTAATCATGTTCAGTATCATTGTCAGCTTTCAGTTTCTTATTTTACAATAATCATACTTATACTAGTCGTGTTAATTTTGAAAAATGCCGACAAAAACTGAAACAACTTTTTCTTCATTAAAAGTTTAAAACGGAAAAGGATACAAAAATGAGTCCATAATTTTGCAACCCTGACAATTCATCATAAAGAATCAACAACATTACCAACCTGCCCAGTACATGAGCCATTTTTGTTGTTGATCTTGATCCCTTTGTTCAATTGCTTTAAATGTAGAATAAACAGGTAAGATAACACCGACTGAGCAACTGCAGAAACCATACAATACTGAAGCGTCATCCGTGAAAGTTGTACAATGCTCAATCCATGAAAAGAATATTCTCATTCTAGCAGTCAGTATTATATAGGTATGCTCGTTGGTTGAATACTTTCTACCAGGAGTCTTGTTTGTCACAGCATATTTGGATACTTACAACAGGCAAAATCTGTTAAAACTCAACTACTATACACTAATACACAGTGCAGCATTGTGAGTCGTTTTATTAGCCTTTTTCTTTACTACTTACATAGCATGGAACTCCAGGAATGATATGTATTTTGAAAAGAAATGACATCCTCCTTTTGTGATATGCAGGTGCAGATCAAAGTGTTCGTAGACAAATTTATGTGTACAGACTTATATCTTTCTGAAATGGTTATATTGACTTTATTCTTTTTGCTAGCTTATTTGGGCTTATGTATAGCCACTAGGTAGTTTCTGGGTAGCTTTGAAGACATTGTTATGGTTGGTACTACTAGTGCATGGCTTTTGAACTGGTACATATTTTTTGTCCATTAATCTAGTTTTTCATTCATCCAAACAAAATGAATAAATACAATAAAAAGAACTGTAAAATCTTACCATGCTGTTCGGAGAACGACGTTAGAGCCAATTGGACACAGAAGTACCCGCAACCCAACCTAAACCAATAGGACCCACACATTATTAAAAATAAGAACTTAGGCGTCAATCAGAAGTGTTAAAGCAACTAAAAGTGTATCATTTGTTGCAACATCACTAATCACATCTGAAAATGATGAAAGAGCCAAGATCTTCTATCCCCCCCCCCCGTTACCAGGCCACGAAAGAGAAACCAAACAAACATTCAACACTATAAATGTTATATTACATTTCATCTAGCTGTACTTATTGCAGACAAGGAAACACATGTAATTCTCATAAAACCATGCAATAAAAAAACAATTACTTCTAGGAAATTGAAAATGGAATGGAAATGTGAAGCTAATCAGACAATAGTACAATACATACAAATACCAATTATCAACTCATCAAGAAGCTGGGCGTTATCAGTATAATATGGGGAACATGAATTCAAAGATTGTAACAAGTCGCAATTAGGTATTGGTAAAAGTAAAACACATGAAAACGTGACTCAATCCTGAATGTAAAACTACTTGTAACTTTACTTATGTGTAAGGTGCAATGAAACAACAGGCACAACTCAATCCATACTCCACAACTCCAGGTATTGATAGATTAGAATTCTTAATCTAGAAAATTAAAGATTCCAATAGGAATTATTAGATAGTTAAGAGCTCATTTTGGATTCTTTTAAAACATAGTAATTTGTTACTTGTATTAATACAGAAATGGTCTTAAGGATGTTGTAATCGTCAATTTTTTGCTTTCATAATGTTAAAAGCAAACACATATTTAAAAGTGAGTGTTGCTAGACCTTTTAATGCATCATAGCACAATCAATTCCAACATTTAGTCCAAATACTTGGGGGTAATTGTACTGTGAATTTCCCTGCTTACTCAACAATTTTAATACCACAACCTTCAGGTTTGAAATCTCGAGAATCAATTTCATTGTATACAAAACTAAGGCTACGTTTACAGCATACAATATAACGGGGAAATTAAAAAGAATGCTAATGAATATTGTTATTTATCTTTAATTTTACCTTAGAAATTAAGAAGGAATATCAACTTTAGTTCAAACATCTTAATTTTACAATATTTAAACTTCTTAATCATTATAGAATAGAAATATATATGTATACGTAAAGTAAATGTGAGCAACTACCCAAGATTGATAGATTGAGTTAGAAACAATCTTTATTTCGCTCAAAGAAAACTTCATATAGATTACCTAGCATTTTCTTGGTTCTAAGCGGCCCTAGAGATTTTAAATTTTGAAAATAACCATCATAAATTAATTAAAGAAATTGTTGTCTCTGCTATCATTATTTGTATAGGAAATTTGAAAAATATAGGATTAAGTCAACTCGACCAGGAATAATTCATGCCTAAATAATAACAAATACAAGTATGTGTAAGAAATTTGATACCTCCATGAAGAAAAGATATATTAAAGCTTCCTCTCTATGGTGTTGTCAGGGGCGGATCCAGAAAATTACAATGGGATGGGCTGAGGAAAAAAATTGAAAGATACATACATACTAATACGTCAAGTCATCAACATTTTAAATATTCATCAGAACATCACTTAAGTTGAGCTCTACACGACTTCAAATTACAGAATTCATCAATAATAGAATCTACATCTATACTATTGACAAAATCTCTTTCAATGAATTTGCTTTCTTTTTCCTGGATCTCTCTCAATGGAAAAAAATGAAGGCAACTCCAAATTTGAGATAGTTTGAATTCTAGGGACTTGCACTACCATAGGTATAGGTTTAGAACTCCCTTTACCACTTTGACGATTCACTTTCGGAAAGAATGACGAAATCAACTTATTCCCTTTCATAGTTTCATGGCAATATATGTTCATTATCCATTCTAAAAAACATTTTCAATATTGGTATGGATCAAAATACTTCTATAAAAATATAAAATTATAAAACTAATAAGAAAAAACAATCATTGTACATAAAACTAATAAGTATTCCCAACTTCAAAATTCAATTGAATTCTTCATTTGTTTCCTTACATGTCCACGCAATAAATAAATTTTCAATTGTATTATCAATAAATCATTCTCTAAGATTTAATTCTATATTTAATCATTATAAAGTTATAATGAATTTTGCCCTATTAGACATATTTCATTATGCATTGAAATTTCAATTAATAATCAAAACATTCTCTAATTTACATGTAAAAAAAAAATCTCACAAAATAAGAGAGTAAAAATCTGAAGACTCACCTGCGCCAGAGCTGGAGGCAGAACCCAGAGAGGAAGGACAGCCGAGTGGCCGACGACGCAGCCCCCTGGACGGATGGAAGCGCGGCGTGGACAGAGGAACGCGGCGCGGCTGATGTCTTGGTGTTCGCTCTTCGTCGCAGGGTCGCAGCTTCTCGCCTTCTTCGTCGCAAGCTCGCTCCGTGCCTCCGTCTTTCTTCTATTTTATTTCTTTCTCGTTCTGCCGTTCGCTAGGAGCGGTGCTACGCAGGTAAGTTGGAATATTCTGGCTTTGGGCCGAAAATAAATTTTGGGCTGGGCTGGGAATAAATTTTGGGTGGGCTGATAGTACGGGGAATTCTATTTACAGTCCCTCTTTTACTAATCACAAACACATAATTTTTATAATTCCTATCAGGCCCTGGTTAATTAACACACCCTCGAGTCTCGGCACACTCTCAATTGAGAGAAGAAGACTTCTTTTGAAAATAAAATTTCATCATTGTGTCGTGAATCAGCTGCTCAGTTTTCTATTTGCAGTCGAAGAAGAAAGAACAATTATGTATCATACTTGGCCTTCACCATTAGTGAACCACCCTTCTATATATAGCAGAGGGAAGTGATGCCGGAGAAAAAAAAAAGGATCGCCTGCTGCCACGCCGGGTTAACAGAATCCACGAAGACTGAAAGCCATAATAGTTGATGATTTCTGCACTATGAACTCTTTATTTAGGACCATCAGATGCACTTCGAAGGGAAATGGGGAATTACTTTTGAACAAATGCCTAAAAAATGTTCAATTGCTTGTACACACTAAGACGTACAAAAGTTCAGAAGAATAGAAGAACAAAAATTAATTTCAGAAGGAAATTGATGTATCGAGCAAGTGCCTTATTGCAACAATAATATCAGTAAGGCTTCGTCTCCAGTCTTCATTTTTGCTCGATGCTGCTGATAATCTCCGCCATTGTGCGTTGTGTGCTCTAAGAAGAAGGTTTCTTCAAGTATTTGTGTTGTGGCTCGGCCAGAATAAAACTCATAAATATCTTATCATAATTGAAAATAAGTTCTCCGTATGATAAAAGAGATAACTAACCTAACAGAGAAGTCTAGTGGACGGACTAATAAAAAATAATGCCGCCAGAAAGATTGCTACTATAGTCTAGGAAGGGTAATTTAGTACTTTAGTTAATTTTGTGACTGTAATTAGTAAATTGGAGGCTGTGAATAGAATTACCCAAACCTATACTTATACTGATTAAAATAAAAACATTGGGCTGGGCTGGAGCTCACCCCTGTCCACACAGCCATCCGCCTTTGGGTTTTGAGGCAAGGGTTGTCATCAACCACAAGACTTTGGAAATTCCTACATCCTTTCTAACACATTGAGATGCATTTGCGAGAGAAAGGAATCACATTTAACGATGTTTATTTTTATCATTTTTAGAGGAAACGTTCCATGTAACCTAAGTTGGGATGAGGAAGAGGGAATGGCCTCAACATATTACCAAATTACTATTTTTTTCTTAAGAAATTGCTCTATGATTAATTAAAACATAAATAAAAGTACACAACTTATTTTGTCATTTTTTTAAACGAGAAAAGTGGCATGTGAGTGCATCAAGTTGAGAGTACATCAAGTCGAGAGTACATCAAGTAGAGAGCTGTAAAGTAAAAAGTAAACAATAATGCAACTCTGATTCAGAATTACATAAAATTGAAAGTGATTCAGAATTACATAAAATTTGAAAAAATCAGTGTTAATAATTTAGTATGAAATTGTATTAACATGTTTAAAACACTTGGCTAATGAATTAGGCTATTTTTGTTGAAAATTGGTTATGGTAAAAGTCAACACGGCCCTCTATCTTCACTGAGATTCCATCTCAGGGGCTGGGGAGAAAAACCAACATTGGTGCCCGTATCCAAAGTCGGCGAAGAAAAGTGGAAGGGGCACTTTGGACTAGGTCATCTGGGGCGTTGTGGCCTCGAACTTCGTCTCCATTGTAGGTTTGGCTGGAGCTGCCGGGGGCGAGGGATTTCACCGACGATAGGGACTCCCAGGCCACCTGGAATACATGGACTGTGTTGTCAATCGGTGAACAAGGAACGACCTTCATCTATGTCTGCCGCCGAGGTGGAGGAGCGACCTTGATCTACGAAATGGTGGCGGCGGATTTGCAGGGCTGGAAATTGATGTTGCGCTCAGCTGCCAAAGTTGCGCTGAAGTGGGCGGCTAGGGGAACCGTCAACGCAGAAGAAAACCTGGGCAGAGCCAGTTATCCGGAGGAAGCGTCTAAAGGTTGGACTCCACCATTGATTTACCTCACAAACACTAATTATTGCCAAATCAGCGTTTTAAACCTAGTGATACGAGTTTGTACTAAATTAACACCGATTTTCCGATTTTATGTACTTCTCAATCACAGTTGCACTATTGTGTGCTACCTCCGTCCCATTTTATGTGTCTTAATTTAACTTGGCACGATTATTAAAGAAGTGGTTGAAAAAGTAAAAGTTGTGGTTGAGGTTTGAGTATAATAAAGTGAAATGATGCAGGCTACATATTTTTTCCCAAAAAAGGAAAGAAGACACTTAGTTTAGGACAACCCGAAAAGGAAAGTAGAACAGGTAAAATGGGACGAGGGGTACTATTTACTCCACAGCTCCCAATTTGATGTATTCATCTGACCTTTTCTCATTTTAAAACTATGAGGAATATGTCCTCTTGTACAAATACATTAATTGAAGAGGGAAGAGTCAATTTACATTTGAAACCAATAACTTGTCAGTTGTCATGTCAAGTCCTTGACTTGGAGAGTGCACATTTTTATTATTTATAACAGTTGATTCATTAAACCTGAGTTTTTGTTATTGAAAAGTGATGAATAAAATTTATTGTTTAACTTTTCCCGGTACAGTAAATTCAGCGTGGGACCACATTGAGGGTGGAGCCACCGACAATGTCGGGACCACATGTAATTCTAACCTTGGTCTAGATATACTTATATGGTGGTAAAAAAAAACGTGGGACACAATGAAAGTGTTAGAAAGGAAAAGTAGTCAAGTTGGGCTTGAGGCACATAAATGATAATTTAAAGGATATTAATCCTGTAATTAATCTTGAGGACAACCAAATTATGGTTGATTAACATATATTTATTCTAGGGACCCACTTAAATAACATGCACATAAATGTTGCATGTTTTAGGCAACTTTTCCCCTAAAAATCATTACCAAATGCAGTTTCTTTCTCTCTCAAATGCAGGGGTGGAGGGGTGGCCAAACCTAGGGGTGGGCAAAAATACCGAAAAATCGGTATACCGCACTTACCGTACCGAAAAGTACCGGACAATACCGGAATATTGGTATACCATCATTTTCGGTACGGTATCATACCATACTGATTTATTTCAGTACGGTAATGGTAAATGTTTTCAAATACCGCGGTATACCGGTATAATACCATACCGATTCTCTACCCAACAATTACTTTAAATTCTAAAATATTGTAAAAGTCCATTACAATTGTGAAACCCAAAATTAATATTTAAGTTGGTTACAAACACCAAAATACAAAAATAAAGGTTCAATTTCCAAGCTCATTATAACCTTCTAGGCTTCTAGTACGTAACATTCAAACAAACCAATTCTAATGACTAATGAGTAATGTAATAATGTCCAGAAACAAGCTCATCTTGTTCCAAAAGCTTTGCGAGTTGCGATGACCGAATGAAGAGGGATACACTTAAGTGGTTAGTGTGCCTACATAAGAATCTCGCGAGTCAAGACACACAACTTTGTCCGAAAGTCTTATTCAAATATATTTCTTAAATATAAAAATGGCTAAATACACAATATCATATTAGGAATAAATGATTTTATATCTATGTTCACATAATTTTATTTATTTTTGTTAGAGATCACTATTGATTTAGTTATATATCTATATTGTTCAAGTTATTTTAGGAGAATGTGTTACTTTTAATATGTGGCATATTAAAACGCTTAAATATACTAATAATAATAATAATAAAAATGTCTAAATACACAATATCATATTAGGAATAATAATTATTAATTGTATTTTGTAGCATTTTAATAATGGATAAAATATGTCGCTAGTAACACCAATTAAGTATATTTCGTTAATCTATGATAATATGTTGTGTTGAGAGACACGCATGGTAATTTTTCTATACCATACTGTTACCGAACCGAAACTACGGTATACCGAAATGCGGTATATAAATTTTTTATATCGAAAATTTTGGTACGACAAAAGTATGAGAGAAAATATTCAGTATACCGTACCGAACCACCCCTAGCCAGATCCCGGACAATTTGTTTTTTTTTGTATTATTATATACGGAGTATATATATTTTAAAAAAAAAATTAGAGTTGGGCTAATGCCAGAAAAAAACTGATCCAGTATAAAACCATTCTGGTCCGGTGCAAAAAAAAAAAAAACACAGTCCCGGCTCCCGTGCTAATCTGAAGAAAATAAGCGCAGCAGCCAAGCCAGGTACACGCATCACGCACGCCTCAGCAGTCGCCCGCAGGAGTGCAGACCACTCGCATCGCCGATTCGCCGGACGCCGCCGCACCTCCGCTCATCCGCTCCGCCTCTTCTGCTTTCCGGCTGCTACTGCTCGTCTGTGCAGGCGGAGGAATATTACTACGCTGCTGCTCTGAGGAAGTCAGGAAGACTCTGCTCTTCTTCCGAGCCCAAAGATCGGGCTATTTTTGGAGGCACAATCCTATTGAGTGGCTTTTCTGGAGGATTCCAGTCTCAACACAGCCTAAGGTAAGGGTTTCTATCTTTTGTTTTTACAATTTGGCGGAATCCATGCTAATAATCCATACTTTTATCAATTCAACAATAATAATCTCTATTGAGCAAATGTATAAAAATAATCCAAACAAGTAAACAAGTTCAAAAAAATATATTAAATGGTACGGAGATTAGGATTCCGTTTAAACTCTCCTCCTATCTTAATCACCCCAGGCTTCATCTCCCCCTATTTTAACTAATTTTGCATCTTTGTAAAACATAAAAAACAATTTGGAAAATATGGATACCACATAAAAACAATCCTGAAATAAACTCAATTTAACCCTAATACTGAATTATAATCCATTTATGGTGAAAATAAGCTCAAGAGATTGCTTACATGATTATTTAAAGACTTTCAAAGAACTGTTCTTTTGGGCTATTTATAATATGAGAAAGACTACATCCCCTCTTCAATTCGACTACTCCATATTTCATTTCAGTTGTGTCTTTGGTCGTTCCGGGATAACAAATGAAGTGTGTAGACTGAGATGGAATTAAGCTGTGATAGAGGAAAAGATTGTTCAAGGATAGAGATAGATCGAAGAAGCGTATGCGCATATGTATTTGATGATGGATTGGATGTTAAATTTTCTACCATATATAAAATTATAAGTGGTCATGATTAGAGTGCAGAATGAACTAAGAATATGGGTAAACATTTATGCTACTGGTAGATCAGTAGATTAAAGAAGAAAAGGTTTTGTCTTGGAGGAAGAAGGCAAGAAGCTATGCACTGTCTAGAGAGGGAGACGACGACACTAGTGAGATTATAACAGACTAACAGTGCCGTTAGTCCCGTTTACTTTCACCTGCTTTTGTGATCCGGTTTCTGAGTTCGGATTCATCATCATTACCCCCCAGTGCCGCAAAGGCTCCCACCTTCGGTGGGGTAAGGGAGGTCGGATGTACGCAGTCTTACCCTTATAATAAAGCACAGAGAGATTGTTTCCGGGTGACCCATAGTGAAGATCACGTCAAAAATTGCATGGACTGACTGCTGCTTCATAACAAAGAAGCGCAGACAGTTTAGTGAGCCATTTTGCTTTATTCCATCATATTCCCAAGCCAAAAAATAGTGGTCTTTGGCTCCATTGCAAATGATGGAAATTTTCTGAGTACAAATTATTTAAATTAATTTGTTGAGTATGGATTATTCATGTAACGTGTGAAAGTACAAATTATTTATATGAATTTTGCTTTACAATTTTTAGTTTAATTTTAGTATATACCTCAAAAAAAAATATTAGTATTTTAAATGCTATTTTAGTCTGTTTTTACAATTGATTTGTGTGCTTTGAATTGTGAAATGGAAAATTAGAATTGTCAAATGTGATTTGTGAATTTCTTAAAATATTATTATGAATTATATAAATTAAAATAAAATATTGATTAGTTTTTTATATTTTTGCTAATTTAGTACTCAATCTAAATTAGCCTAGTACAATATGGCTACTCAATCTACTTCCAAAAAGGAAAAAATCACATTGTGTTCGTTTTATAAGCCTAGTACAAGCACACAAATTAGACAAAAGTTAAATGTCTCAATTGGAAGTAGTTTCTGATGCACTTGTAATTGAGCGGGATCCGGGAAAACGCAAAACGATAATTGATTGGCCGTTAGAGAAAAGAGATGAAATTAGATGATCTTATTTGATGCTTGGACCGTTACAAATGTATATGGTTAGTTATTCTTATAGTTTTTCACTCTCAGACAGGAATATGCTGGGGTCATTGCCCATATTGCCTCTCCCTCCTGCTACTGAGGATGGAAATCTTGGTCCATTGCCTCTAGCTCAATTGACAGAAAAGGACAAAGATGATGTTAATGAAATGAATGAGGAGGAAAAGAACAAAAGCAGTTCAGCCTTAGCATCAGTTGCGACACATGCAAAAACTATTGGGATCATTTACCCACCTCCTGATATTAGAAGCATTGTTGACAAGACATCTCAGTTTGTTGTTAAGAATGGTCCAGAATTTGAGAGAAGGATTGTTCTGAGCAATGCAGGGAATGCAAAGTTTAATTTTTTGAACCCCTCAGATCCTTATCATGCTTACTATCAACACCGCTTGTCCGAGGGCCGTGCACAGAATTTGGCTTCTGGTCAGCAGCTTCCATCAAAGATAGCCGATTCAGATGCTCCAGAATCAGCCCCTTCTGCACCTTCATCTGATTCCATTGATGCAATGGCAAAGCCCGACCCATCTGCACAGTTCAGACCCATTCGCAAGGTTCTTGAACCACCAGAAGCGGAACAGTATACTGTTCGGCTTCCTGAGGGGATCACAGGAGAGGAATTGGATATCATCAAGCTTACTGCGCAGTTTGTAGCAAGGAACGGGAAGTCTTTTCTGACAGGGTTGACCAGTAGAGAGATCAACAATTCTCTATTTCAGTTTCTGAAGCCTACACATAGCATGTTTATGTTTTTCACTTCACTGGCAGATGCGTACTCAAAGGTCCTAATGCCTCCTAAAGGCTTGACTGATAAACTGAGGAAGAGTGCTGCTGACATGACGACTATACTTGAACGGTGCCTAAATCGGTTGGAATGGGAAAGGTCACAGGAACAGGCTAGACAGAAAGCTGAAGATGAAATAGAATTAGAGAGATTGCAAATGGCTATGATCGATTGGCATGATTTTGTTGTGGTGGAGACTATAGATTTCGCTGATGATGAGGATCATGATTTACCCCCTCCTATGACCCTTGAGGAGGTTATCAGGAGGAGCAAGATGTCATCGATGGATGAGGAGGAAGATTTTGTTGAGCCAGGGAAAGAAGTAGAAATGGAGATGGATGAGGAGGAGGTTCAACTCGTTGAAGAAGGCATGAGAGCCACTACCATTGAGGACAATTCTGTCCAAAATTCTGAAATTATGGCAATAACAGAGGATCATGATCCGCCCATGAGAATTGTGAAAAATTGGAAAAGGCCTGAAGAGAGGTCCCTTCCGGAAAGAGACCCAACAAAGTATGTCATTTCTCCTATAACCGGGGAGATGATTTTGATCAGTGAGATGTCTGAGCATATGAGGATCTCTCTTATTGATCCTAAATACAAGGAGCAGAAAGAGAGAATGTTCGCGAAGATTAGGGACACAACCCTTGCTCAGGATGATGAAATTTCTAGAAACATTGTTGGGCTCGCTAGGACACGGCCCGATATTTTTGGAACCACAGAAGAAGAAGTGTCAAATGCAGTTAAGGCCGAGATCGAGAAGAAAAAGGAAGAGCCAAAACAGGTCATATGGGATGGTCACACTGGAAGCATTGGTCGAACAGCTAGCCAGGCATTGTCCCAAAACAGTGCAGAAGATCAATATGATTTTGTAAATGATGCAAGGAATCTTCCGGGCCCACAAGCACCACCCCCTCCCAGGCCTGGGTTGCCATCAGTTCGACCACTTCCTCCACCACCTGGTCTGGCATTAAACATCCCTCACGCTCCTAATACTTACCTCTATCCAACTCATGGTACCCCTGGGGTTATTGTTCCACCTCTTCCCAGGCCTCCTGTGATTAACACAATCCCACAGTTGCAACCCCCACACCCTACCAACTCACCCATGCCCGGGCAGCATCTTATGGTTAACCGTCCCCCAATGCACCCATCAATGCCCATCAGTGCTCCCAACATTTCGGTACCATTACCACCTGGCTCTCAATATACACCTATCGGTCCTCCTCGACCTTCCTTTGTTCCCCATCCCATGTCCCAATCTGGAATGAATGTGGTTCCACCACCTCCAATGCTACCCCATGGAATGCCTCCACCACCTCCGCCCGAAGAAGCTCCACCACTTCCAGAGGAACCAGAGCCTAAAAGGCAAAAGCTTGATGAGTCTATACTCATTCCTGAGGACCAGTTCCTGGCCAAGCATTCGGTGCGTACATCTATTTATTTTGACTTCTTTCTTACATTCTATTCTCATTTTGTCTAGTGATATCTAATAGACAGTGTTTTGTTTTGTTTTCCGTTTTTTTTTGCAGGGTCCTGCCCGTATCAGCATTACTGTACCAAATGTTGATGAGGGAAACCTCAAAGGCCAGGTATTGGAAATTTCAGTGCAGTCCTTGTCTGAAACTATTGGCAGTTTGAAGGAGAAGATATCCGGTGAGATCCAGCTTCCTTCAAACAAGCAGAAGCTGAGTGGGAAGGCTGGTTTTCTCAAGGACAACTTGTCGCTTGCCTATTACAATGTTTTTTCTGGAGAAACACTCAATCTTTCACTCAGAGAACGTGGTGGCAGAAAGAGATAAATATCTAGGGCTTCATTCTTACTGTTGTTATGTTAGTTTTTGAGATTTTATTTCATATGTACCTCTAACAGTGCTTTTTGAGTTTTTTTAATTTAAAATGTCTTTGAGCTGATGGTATGGTAATCCTCTTTCTGTCTTACAGAATTCGCAACTTGGTAAGGTACCACTGAAGCTTATGGGAGGTTTTTATTAGTTAATTAGTTGTATTTTATAAGATGCAATTTTACAATCTGTTTTCTTTTCATGGCACTAATTATGTCTTGTCTTGACATGCAGCTGACCTCCCTTCCCAACTGAGCTTTAATTGGTCTCTATTGAAATCTATCATATTCGATTGTCTTGATGTTGTATATGTTTCTTGCTTCAAGTATTTTTGGATGAATCTCCTGTTAGCAGGCAGTATGTGTTTTGCTTATTTAAAAACATAATTCAAGCTTCAAGTTGCCCTAAGATGTTCAGGTATCATAGGTTTCAACACCCATGCTATGGGCTGTCTCTCTCTCTTCTTTGTTTTTGCTGAGTATATACGAGAAGAGCATTCAAAGACCAGCTGCTACCCTTTGGCAGTTTGGGCTAGGCTTCTGATTGGAGAAATTCAGCATTTTTTGTGTTCTGTAGATGTGAAACCATTCTTTCATGGTTTCGCTCTTGACCAGGTCTTTGTGGAATTGGTGATTTTGCAACTTTGTGAAGTTACACGATACCTAAAGTTGAATAAATGAGTGTAATACTGTAATTTACTATAAATACAATGTTATGTTTTTTAGCTGTGCAGACTAATATTATGCAGGATTGCAGGACGATTGAGTAGTTAAAAGCAAGGTTCCCGAAGTTCTAAAAGGTTATGGGTTGTTAAGAATACCAGTTATTTGCGCTTGAAATGCATTATTTTGGTAATATATATTTTGGTTCACTTGTATGTGTTCGTTGTTGGAGGTATTCTCACAATTTGAGGCATAAAATTACAAAGATTTTTTGGGTGATGTTTGAAATTGTGTATTGCTTGGTTGGGGTGGTTTGTACTTTGTAGAGATCGTATATTGCCTAATCTTCATTACAAGATACGAAGTTAAACGCAAGCCACAATTTCAGAATAATTGTAAAAGAACAATTGAAGTAATAATGAAAATATTGACAAGAAGAAATCATCTTTCACCGATTTTTTCAGAATAATTTCACTTTTATAAATTAAATAGTCTTTCACTGATGACTTCATTGACTTGTTATTCTAGGGTTTCACATATTTTGTGAAAAATATTAAACAAATAATCTCGTCTCTCATTGATTCTCAAAATAGTATGATGTAAGATTTTCTTTTCTCCCGAATAGTTTTCTTTCTTTGTTTTTATCCCTTCATACTTTTCTATTTCTTTTTAAGTTTTGTTGCAACTTCTTTTCCATATTTCTTGTTCTATTTCTCACTAGAAAAGTTTTAATTGTGTAAAATTCCCTTCTCGGGTAACTTTTAATTGCTTTTCTAACTCATTCTATTTTATACAAGATCCTTTTTCCCATTAAACTTTTTGCTATATTTTTTTCACTTTTTACCTTATTTATTCTTGTTACTTTAAGTCCACGGTCCACCATCAATGTTTTTCTCCTTTTCTCATTATGATATTTTCTAAATAAGTCCTCCCATTAATTTCATCAATATTAGGAAAAAACTATTTGTGATTAAAAAACTAGTGGAAAAATGAAATATAATGAAAAATAAAAAAATCAGGGAAATGTAAGAAGAAAAAAATGACATACTTTTTACAGGAAAAGTGATAGATGAGAGGAAGATTAGGGAAGAAGAATGAGAATAAAAATCATACTACGTGGTCAAATTACTGAACTGATCACGAAGTGTGGTCAAGTTAGATTAGCCATAACCATTTCCAGCAAATAATTGGGCCTCTTTCACAAATTAAAGCCAAAAAACTCGCAAACTATTCAACAATAATACTGCTTGTTCTCTTCCAAAAAAAAACAATAATACTGCTTGTTCAAATAGTAAAAGCCAAGCAGCCAAAATCGTGTTATTCAAACTAAAACCAATGGCAAAATTACGGAAACAGAGGAATGTAACATACTAACATATATTCTTCCAATGGAAATATTATAGATCTCTTTTTCTTCTATTTTAGGAAAGCCCAAAATGATGATCAGTTCTCATGGTTGATCGCCTCTTCCTTCTTCTCATAATGGTGTTTGAACTTGGCAATTTGGCCAATGCTCTCAGCCATTTGACGCCTTGCACGGAAGTGATAGACCTTGCCCACTTGGTGTATCTTGGTCATCATTACCGGCATCAATCTACCACTCTGGGTCAACATATGATATCCACTGTAACTGAGGATGAACCCCCTTCTTCATTTTCTTTTTTCCTTCGCACAAAACAAAATCAACTTCAATATCATTGCCCCAAATTCATTAGTTTTACTACCTCCGCCCCTAAGATTGGGATCAGAGGGAATGATGCAGTTCTTAAGAAAAGTGGAATTTGTTAGACTGATATTGAATTGATAAAGTGTGAATAAAGTTAAAATGAATTGCAACTACTCAATTATTACCAAATATATTATGAGACAAATTCAGTGATGAAGCCAAAGATTCATTATTTTTTGGCTTGAGAATATGATGGAATAAAGCAAAATGACTCACTAAACTGTTTGTTCTTCTTTGTTATGAAGCATCAGTCGGTCCATGCAATTTTGGACACGATTTTTACTATGGGTCATCCGGAAACAGTCTCTCTGTGCTTTAGTACAAGGGTAAGACTGCGTACATCCGACCCCCCCTCCCTCCACCGTAGGTGGGAGCCTTTGCGGCATTGGGGTAAATGAAAATGAAAATGAGACGGAAAAAAAGGTAAAATGGGACAAATCTAGGGGAGAAAGGGAAATGTTTTTAAAACAATACAAGGGTTAGTTTGACTCCATTTGAACATCATACTTAGAAGGTCGTCTCATTTTGAGCTTCAAGCTTGAAACTATTTTTCGTTCAAATAGCATCAGCTTCGAATCTATCAATCTATATTTCCTTTGTAATCATACAAATGATTAGCATGTAGGGGTGCTCAGTAGAGATCACATATTACATTAGCTCAAATTTGGGATTGAAACATGATCAATCATAATAGATTTAGCAGATAATGAATTCAAAATTGTAGGAAAATGAATCAAAGCAATAAAGGCTTGCAGGGGTGATCCTCTTAGATTGCAAATAGTTTTAAAAAGTTTCTGCATTTGAGCTGAAATTATATCATTGTGAATTTTGAAAACACGGCAATTATAATAACTGATAACTCACATTTTTTAAATATTTACCAAATTAAATATTTTCTATCATCAATCTTAAAAGTATAATTTAAGTTTATATAAAAAATAAGATTTCATCAATAAAAATAGAAGTTTTAAACTACACTTTTTTGCCTCTGGTAGAGGTTTTTTATCGTCTCTATTGATAAAGGTTGATGGGGCTAGACCAGAGTCTAATATGACTAAGCCCTAGAGTTGGACTCATGAGTCTAGGACTCTAGGCCCTAGACAAGCAGGCGCAAGCCTGATGTCTCAACACTATCAGGTCAGCCCGACTAACGGGCGCAGCAACCAAGGAATTCAGACCGGCCCAGCCAACTAATGAAAGAAGGAAATCCAACAAGGCAGAAGTCCAAGACGACCTGCCGGTCCAATTCGAAGTTTTCCTACCAGCCTGCCGGGAGCCTGACAGTCCAGTCGAAAGCCTGCCTACCTGCCAGCCAGCCAAGAGCCCGTCTACCGGTCCAGCCAAGAGCCTGCCTGTCAGCCCAGCTGTCGAGAGTTGGTCTGATATAGGTTCGGTTCTAGTTAAAAAATCATGGAACGGTTTATAAAAATATAATTTCTAAATTCGGTTCGGTTCTAATAAAAAAATCGAGAACAATTTTGGATCCGAATAAAATGTAAACGGTTCAGTTCTTGCGTTTTTCGGTTCCTAAAAAAATCTTCTAATTTTTGTAAAGTGAACTCGTCTTTCTCTAATTTCTGCTACATAAAACAGAACAGTTCAAACATATGACCTATGGCATAAAAATATGAAAGTTTCAACATATCAAAAAGATAAAAGTTCAAACATAATAAACTCCAATTTAAGGAAACATGACATAAAGTTATAAATTGTGTTCCGCCTCTACGCAATAAGGCTAGGCACTACGGATAATTTCTATTGATAGATGTGCTGGATGGGCAGGAAAAAGCACTACGGATAATTTAGTGGCTTAGTGCAGGAGTAATATTTTATTAGTTTCTTTGTAGTTGGTGGAATCAAATTTGTTGTTTTAATACAGTGGAATTTTTAATTATGTACTCCCTCCGTCCCAGAAAATTCTTCCTAGTTTGACTTGGATCGGAGTTTAAGAAAGTGAGAATAAAGTGGAAATGTGTGGTTGTAGTTGTGTAAGAAAAAGGTGAAATGAATGTGAGCCACACAAATAATCAAAAAGGTGAAGTTGGGAGAATTTTCTGGGACGTCCCAAAGAGGAAAGTTGGAAGAATTTTCTGGGACGGAGGGAGTATTAGGTAGTGAGTAATATTATGGATTCTTCTTTGTTATTTTAATTAGGAGTAATATTGATTCTTCTATGCTATTTTAATACAAGGTAGACCATATACTACATAGTGGAATAATTCGTATTAGGAGTAATCATATTGATTCTTCTTTGTTATTTTAATTAGGAGGAATATTATTGATTCATCATTGTTATTTTAATACATAGTGGAACTTTTATTAGGAGTAGCATTATTGATTCTTCTTTGTTATTTTAATACATAAGTGGAACATATAATACATACTCTTCGATCTAATAAGACTAGAACTTTAATAAATTAGAAAATATTTATTTTTGGATGGGTTTATGACCTTAATTTTGGATATTTTCATTATGACATTAGTTAACTTTTAACTATTTTTTTACTTAAGTATTAATTAAATTATTTGTTCTTTTATATAAATAAATTTGTTAAAAAGTTGAGGCTTACGCCTCATTGCGCAATAAGGCTTACGCAATAGGCAATGGCGCAATGCTATGAAACCGCCTCAAACACGCAATACGCAATTTCGAACCTTGAGTCATCAAGTTCAGTTTATAAAAGACTGCATGTTATTCCGTATAAATAATCTATCTGGAGTGTATTTTACATCCATTCATTTTGCATGCCTATCATGTGGAGTGCATTTTTTGGAACAATTGTACTTAAAATTAGGGGACGTAAATACATAATCTATATGCCCAACGATATATGATGTTTCCATCTATTCTATTGCTCTAAATGTAATTTGTTTTTATGTACTTCATGTTTAACAATGGAAAAAGTTATCTTTTTGAAAAAAAAATAGAAAACGTGTACACATGATAGGCATGTAAAATGAATGAATGTTCAATCCTTTTTACTTACAAACTGACTTTCATAACTGTATCATCAATTTTAGAGAGCTCACTTTTAGAGGTACGTTGGATGCTACCGGCAAGATTTACCTAAGACAACAATATAAGAAGTATTTGCCAGCACACATCTTCACATAAACGTGAAGATCTATATTAAATTTTCCCCAAAAATAGAATGAATATATGGTTTTAAAAGATGTGTTATATCCAAAAGAGTGTACTATCTGATGTTCTACATCAACTGAGTTTTCTGTAAAGAACTACACGGGCAACTTTTCCTTAGTATGTTTTTACTTGGACTGTAATTTGCTGGTCTGGTCTGGTCTGATCTGGTCTGAACTGTTCTGGTCTGGTTTCTTTGTATTTTTATAACTATCCTGGTCTGGTCTGGACTGGTCTGGTCTGGGGCAAATTACCGTTCAAGTAAAAACATCCTTAGTTTAATAGAGATAACTTTCCATACAAAAAAATCTGTTAGACATTATAACACTCTAGACACTTACATAATACATATGAAGTAGATCGGCATTGCTATTGATATTTACTA